GAAATTTACATGAATCAGAAGAGTGGAACTTGCAACAGGACAAACACTGACCAAACTTATCCCCATCCTCGTGAACTGCATCCAAACTCAATGAATTGTCTGCATAACCTTGAGTATGCACTGGGTTGGGATGACGTAATGTAGTGGACTTTTTTATATCCTCATGAATCATTTTACGAAATCTTCCTCCTTTACGACATTCGAAATTTGTATACTGAGCATAGTCTAGCAGTAGATCCTTGAGAGCTGTATAAGAAAGCAAAATGGGCTTTTCCGGCATAGCCAGAGTTCTTAATAAGCTGTATGTTTCTTTTCCAATGAATGTGAGGAAGTGTGCCACAATATTAACATCCTCATCATCTTCCTTGGTCATAGCCCAGATTTCGAACCTTTCAAAGTAATCTTCAAAAGCTTCCGAAGTTTCAGTTTCAGTTTCAGTTTGGGAAGGACAGGAGGCTCGATGGCCTATGTTAGTCCTGGCAATGGTGGTCTCTCAGTTGATCCAACTTTCTTTTGAAAGAGTCGACGGATGGAGCCTCAACCACGTGCTGAGGTAGTGAATTCCACTCGTTGATGATTCTATGGGAAAGTCGATAGTCAGCTGACAAGTAATTTGTTCTCGGCTTATGAACTTTTTTGGAGTGTCCTCGTAAATTCTCTGTTTTGGAAGACAAGAAAAATGAGGGCATGTTAGGTGCGAATTTATCAGTAAGCAATTTGTAGACTGTAATCAAGTCGCCTCTAGTTCTGCGATATGACAACGGGAAAAGGTTCAGCTTGGCCAGTCGAGATTCATACGGAAGCTTCGCTATTCCTGGAACCAGCTTAGTCGCCGTTCTCTGAACCTTTTCCAGAAGCTCACTGTCTTTTTTAAAGCAGGGGCTAGCCGCTTGTATGCAGTACTCAAGTTTAGGACGAACGAACACTGTATACAAAGTCAAAAACGTCTTAGTGTCGACATGACTAAACGCCCTACGTATTGACCATAACGTTCTAAAACTTTTGGCGGCTATTGCACGGCAGTGTGCAATGAATGAATATCTAACTTTTCCATTGCAGGCTCCATCGCGACGCCAATATAGTATTCGAATTATCGTATGAATTAGGAATTCCAGGATTAACTCAATTGAATTAAGAAGACACAGGCACAAACGAATGTATTGTATTTAGAATTCGAAATCAAGTATTCAACCAGTACAAAGGTATCATTAGTCCATTCAAACACCACATAGGTGTAGACCGATTGGTTGGGCTTCATGCCATTACCGTATTCAGTGGTCGGGAACTCTAAATAATATGGCTCCAAATCGTTTACAGTGAAGCAGGGGCATTCACTCTTTGTCATCCCTTTGATCCTAAGCTTCTAACTTCGTCATGCTCTCTTCATTTTACCAATTTATCTCTTTTTGAATCTTATCCTCGATGTTTTATCTTCTCTAATACCACTAATAATGTCATTATCTCCAACTACTCTGCGATTTGCCCTAATAGTTTCTTTTCTCTCTATGACAATGGCGTACGGTAATCTGAACCAATGTAGCGGCTTTATTCAATATTAAATTTCTGATACAATATAGAATTCTTAGCACAAGGTGTTTAAACAAATTTCCTCTCCATATTTCTTGATCGATCCATACGATAAACATTGAGTGGTCGTCAGTTATATGTTAACACTTCAGGAATCGACGTATAAATAATGTACATTCTGAGATAGTGGAAAAGATTTGTAGCTCAGGTGGATAATTCCGATGAAGTTTTGTTCTCTGAGCTCGATGGTTTGGTCGTGGCGATTCTTGCACAACATCATCAGCACAAACTTCAGGTCGAAATCGGAATTGTTCGAATTTCTCCACATATGGTTCACAGCTTGCCCTGTAGACCTCCATGTTGATTGGTTCTTATTGACATTAAACCTGTCATTGTTCACTTCCCTGTTTTGGTTGTATCTTCCATTAGTTTGATTTTTGTTGCTATGTTTGTCCATAATCTTCCTGATTGGTTGATAAGTTAGATTGGTTTCAATATGTTAGTTGATTGCTGATTGACCTGAGTGTCAAGCTTCTAAAAATTCTCTGGTGTTTTTCGAATTGCCTCTATCGGAAAGTTCCACATTTTTCCAGTCGAATGTGTGCGCAGTTGTCCACGTGCATTGGTATAAGTGATGACATGTCATGGCGTTTGAATGTTAATTGGTGTTCATATAGGCAAAGATGAAGAGGGCGTCTGCTCTGTCCGATGTAGTGTTTTTCACAACTGGCAAAATTTATTTTGTAGATGATGTTTGATTTTTTCTTTTTTTTACCATTTCGTCGTTTGGTTTGCATAGAATTGATTGTTGTGATTGTGTTACTTTATGTGCTACACCTATTCCGAAGGGTTTCAGCAGTCTCGCTGTAGTTTCTGATATGCCTTTTATGTATGGCAGGGTGATCCTTTTGTTGATTTCTGTACTTGACTTTGTTTCTAATGATGCGCGCGGCTGGTATTTCTTGATGAAGTTGATTGAGTAGCTGCTCTTCTGAAAGATGGTCTTTAAGTATTGTTCTTTATTTTTTTGTACTTCAAGTGTGTTTCAATGTGCAACGACCGAACTGACAGTATTCGGTTTGAACGCAGAACTGACGAAGCAAAATTTATTCGAATAAGCCAGACTACGTTCTTCTGTATAGCGTACCAAGCGTTTTTGAGATACTCGTATTAAATTATATCAAAACACAAACTCTTTGCGCAATTTAAACGGTTCTAATTTAGGAAATAGAACAAATTATATCAGAAATACAAAGTACTTCAAACGGTACAGCCTGTGCTATGTAGTCAAAGGTTTCTCTAACACAAAGTAGCACGCTAAACAATAAAAGAAACATTTAATACTAAAGGGTTCGATACCTGAGAATCATTAAAAATATCCCCGACAAGATGGGATCATATATGTATCTGCAGGGATTCCAGCAATCCTCCCAAGCAGACAGTCAAAAGGTTAACAGCCACACATTGAACCACGCCGTGACCTTGAGCGTTAGTCAAACACGACCTTACTGTCAATAGTCCGGCAACATGCAATAGAAAATTAGGTAACAAAAGATAAGTCTTTAATCAAAGTCGCATAATAAAAGCTCAGACGAGGAAGACTAAAGAACAAAAGGTGTGGTTAAACGAGATCTGAACAAAGGTTAAAATACACGACAGGAAGAAGAAACAAATAAATGAAAGTACTGTCCAACAAAAAAGCTGCGGAGGGATTTTCATTGTTCTCTTTCCGTTACACAGTGTGTTCTCACCCTCTTGAACAAAGTTTGTACGCAGCTGATTTTGTGAGCGTTTGGGTTGTTTAAGGTCAACAAGAACCAATCAGCATGGAGGTCTATAGGACAAGCTGTGAACCATATGTGGAGGAATTGGAACAATTCACTTCTACCCGAACGTTTTGCTGATGATGTTGTTCAGAAGAACGATGAAATCTCCACAAGCAAACCATCGAGCTCAGAGAACAAAATTTAATGAAAATGTACATTCTTTTCTATGTATATTACCATCGGCCACGATGTCGCTGAATGCACTCTTTTGTAAGATGTATAGAGAAAGGTTGCAAATTTTTCATAAACGCACCTGATTAAGCTATGAGACTAATAGGCATAATGATGTGTGAAAACAAACAAGAAAACAGGTAACTTGCTGAAATATCCAGATGGCAGAAACAGGTAGCCCAGACATTTAAGCAGGCCGCCAAACCAAACACAGTAATTGCTAAATGAAATAACAAAATCAGTGATTTTTTGATACACTTGATACATCCTGGAGTTCCAGTGAGAAGCCGTGGCCATTGGAGTTCAACCAAGTTTGTTGTGAGATAGTAACTCACTTTACACAATAGTGGATGGTGGCACAATTTCGTAGTTGGTTGAAGTTGGACATTAACACTGTTGTATGCTGGCCGGCTCAGTGGTCTAGAGGTTAAGCGTTCGCTCGTGAAACTGATAGATCCTTCGTTTGAATCACACGAGGCAAGGGCGTGAATGCACACAGCTGAAGAGTCTCATACTAGGGTGAAATGGCCGTTCAGTGCTTTCAGGTTTTCCATGGTGATCTAGCTTCAATTGACTCATGAATTCAATTATTATATTACATTGATAAAAATTGTTGAGTTAAAGCACTGGAAATAATAATTTTATAAAAATACCTGGTTGTTAGACCTGTTTTTTTATTGATTAGACTAAATTGTTTCTTATCATTCAGGATCTTCATTGATCGGTAGTACATTGAAAATTTTAGGGGGTATGGTGTGACTTTACTGATTATTCTACCACTGATTGAATTAAATAATATGAACCTCTACGTATTCATTAGTTAGTTTACATATATACGTGATTGTGTTAAAACTTCATAGTAATAATAATAATAATAATAATAATAATAATAATAATAATAATGAAAAACCACAATTAAAAATAAGAAAGCAATGGACAGACATTTTATGAATGCATACTATTGAGGAGCTCCATACTATACGTGAGAAGCCGTGACCAGTGGAGCTAATCCAGAGACAGGTAGATACCTCAGTACAATGGAAGTTGGTCGTGCAATTTCGTGGATTGGTTGATGTTAGACACTATCACCATTGGATGCCGGCTCAGTGGTCTAGGTGGTTAAGCGCCTGGTGCGAGACCGATAGGTCCTGGGTTCGAATCTCGCGGAGAGCGGGATCGTGGATGCGCACTGGTGAGTAGTCCCATACTAGGACGAAACGGCCATCCAGTGCTTCCAGGTTTTCGATGGTGATCTAACATCAATCGGTTCATGATGTCAATCAAAACCCCTATACTAGTAATACGTAACAGTTGTCAAGTACTTCCTGGTTTTTATATTAGTACTCTACCAAAGATCATTACACAGTATCCATGATACCGTACACGAATAACAATTTACTTGTTAAATATGTAGATATGTATAACTATATATATATATATATATATGTATATATGTTTAATTATACTGATTTATTCAATCATAGTAACTATTAAACAAAATAAATCGATTCCCATAGTTACTATTTGTTACTAAGATATGTAATTACTTAAAATGTTATCATCTTCTCTCTCTCTCTCTACATTGTCCAATTTATAGACTATAAAGTTAATATAAAAACTGATCTATTATAATTCATTTGATTGAATTCATCCGTGTAATCATACTGATTAAAGAGATAATCATGGTTAAATTAAATTCTAATTTATTCCTATGGATTATATTATTATTATTCTTTTATTCATTACAATTATTCAATGAAATATCTACTCAATCTATTAATAAAGATGCATATACTTGTCCATATTTATGGATGCATTGGAAACAAAGGCGTACATTTGGTTGGATATGCGGTTCAGTATCATATTTACAAACAAAGTAAGTTTGAATAGATTTGAATGGATATTTCCTTTTTGATGATTATCTGAATTTTTTGTGTGTGAATTTAATGGCAAACATCAATTACATTTGAATTAAAGTAGCTACCGATATTATAGTCTCTAACATGACTTCAATTAGTCAGTAACAATGTAGTACATCGTATGTACGTACATCAGTTCGAGTTGCCATACCACATTAGCACAGAGATGCAGTGGTCGATTCAAATCTCGTAGTGGTAGAGAGCATAAACAGTAATCAGGAAAATTAGTGTTTGGAGATGTTATTTAAGGGGTATAATACAGTGAAATAAATTTGGAAAGAGAAAAAAGAGACAAGGAGGAATAAGGAGATCAAAATTTGGGAGAACACAAAGAGTGAATACACCTGCGCCATTGCAAACTATGTTGAGCCATGTCATTCAAAATATCTAACCATCGGTTGCTATCGTCTCGCAGATCCCCGGAACCAGATAGTCTACACCTACCAACATGGCTTAGTCCACTTGTCAATGACTTCATGGATTTGTGCCCCTTGACTTACTAACATTCGATAAAATGGTCTATATTGCATAACTTGGAATTCTTTTGTTTAATCAATATGTAGGAAGTTATAAGCGTGTAATTAATAGGAAATTTCGAACTAGATAAAAACAACTATATGATCCTACTTGATATTCGAAAGTTTTTCAGTCAATATTAATCTGTATCGAGAACTATTCACTCAACCAACTGGTGAATACATAGAATTAGAATTCATGATAACGAGAAACTATTGTAATTCCTCTATGTGCTGTTAAGTAGTACTGTTCAAGTTTGAAAAACTAAAGCTTGACCAACTTACATCCTCCAATAAATAACGTATCTCATAAACTACCAATCATGCATTTTGCAAAAATGTCTAGAGTTGGCATTCATCAATTGATAGTTAATGATAAGATCATAAAGTGATAGAATGTTTTAGAGATAAATGGTTAAAAAGAATAGAATTCTATATTTTGAATGTCACTTCATGTTAAATGATTAAAGATGATAATCGGGAAACATTGAACTAAAGTTTTGATTTAGTTACTAACAATCATTAGTGCTTATATTCAATACTAAGGGTGATAAAACGGAAGGAAAGGATAAAATCACATCTTTAACTTATTGTGATTCTTATTCAACGTGTGTTAGTTATTCAGTGAAATCTTTGTTTTCTTTATAATATGATATGTTACTAGTGATAACATGGATTTATTTCAATATAATGGTCATTCAAGATAAGGTGATACCTTGTATTCAATGTATGTAACTTATTTATAATTATTAATCAAATAGGTGTACCAAATACCGAGAGTGGGCTGAATCTGCTCTCTCTTTCTCTCTCTCTCGAAATGCTCTCACATGGCCACGTGCATACAATCACTGTCAGGGAAGTCCTACTCACTACCTTCTCGCGACACGGGTGTTGTTTACGAAATTGAGAGGAAGAGAAAGCGAATTTCCGGTGCTTTAACCGGATTGGTGGATATAGAGGATCCACCTAGGGGAGTTGGAGAACACTGATTCCAAATCAATGGTGTACATGGGCTTAAGGATCCTAAGGGAAAAAAATTAGGTATGAATCTATCGTTGGTCACCGGCTATCATGAGATTGAATTTCTTGACGTTGCCAAACTGCCTTGTGGATCAGACCTTTAGGTCGAAGGCTCCGGATGTGACCCCCTAAGGAAATCACCTGTTTCGATCTGGGCACCAGGATAGTATCCCAGCCCTCATACAAATCAAATGAAATTTGTGTGGCGCATATGCATTTGATGCCTCCTTGTACCAATGTTTATGTGTTTGAATAAAATAAAATAATTTTCTACTAGAGTCTTTGTGTCTTAGGAGTTCACTCTCACGAGTCTTCCGTGTTGTTACCTTAGAATAGGAATTACAGTGATTGCTTGTTTAAATTATGAATAGTAAGAGACTCAGATATAACAGAAAGAAACAACTTCTCCCTCTTATGAGATATAAATCCTTATCACTCAGTTTTATGCAACCAGATATGTCAAAATTAAGTTATTTATATTGAGATTTCGAAGCACTTTTACAAGGGGGGAGGTCACACTGTAACGTGACTGGTGAAATTTGATCAACACTGAGGACAAAGAAAATATAAACATCGTTAATATGCACTATTCGATAAATGTAAATGACAACTATGGACAGTTTTGTCGTAAAATTCTGGTTACATTTTACCCCCCCCCCCAAATAAAAGACCAATACGCAAATTTTTAGTCACCATTTGTTAGTGATTTCTACACTTTATGTTTAAACGATTCCAAAACTTAATAAACCATTTACTCCTAAACTATGAAGAAAGTGTTGGAATTCATGAATAGAATTAAAACAATTTTTTCTACGTCTTTCAATAAATAGCTTCTGTTTGTTTGAATGTTCCCATTGATGGTTAGGACGGCAACTTTACCCCATTGTAAAAGCTAGTGACTAACAGGACTCAGTAGCTAAGTAGATAATGTGATGGCATTTGAAGTGAATGGTATTGGGTTTGAGTTGCAGAGTGAATATCAACTCTAGGATGCAGGTAAATCTATCTGACGAGTCCAAAATAGGATGAAACGGGCGTTCAGGGTTTCACTGCTATCCACCATCCGTCTCTGTACATAAAAGTTAATAAAACAACGGTTGTCTCTATATTGACAATAAAAATGGTTAGATTAAAAGAATTTCATCCTGAAAGTTTGCCTAAAAACATCTTATGTTGATTAGATAAATTCTTAAAGATTGATCTAGTTAGAAGATACTACCGAAAATCAAGGACCATTAGATTGTTATCTTATTCTACTATGAGACTACTCATCTACGTTCATTTATGACCATACCGCAGATCAAGTTCAGGACATTCTGTTCTTAAATTGAACTCTTAACGATTAGAGCCACCGAGTTAACACACTACTGAGGAGTCCCATCTTGGTATGAAATATCTGGATAGTGTTCTCGTGATTTTCAATAGTATTCTAACTTATATTAATCTGTGACAAATGCAGAGTATGAATATTTAGAAGATTTTAAAAGCTTACATACTTTACCTAAGTCTGTTACCCCTCGTGAAGGAGCATAAGCCGCCCATCAACACTCTCCATCTAACCCTGTCTCAGGCAATCCTTTTCATGTCTGCTTCCGATTCCCGACGCAGTGTGTTCTTTGGCCTTCCTCTTTTCCGATTCCAAGTTAGTGCTTGCCTCGTGATGCAGTTTGGTGTTTTCCGTAACGTATGTCCTATCCACTTCCAACGTCTTTTCGTAATTTCCTCTTCGGCTCAAAACTGATTTGTCCTCTCCCACAATAGTCTGTTCCTGATGATATCCGGCCAACGGGCATTCAGTATCTTGTGCAGACGATTGTTTATAAGTACTTGTACCTCTTCTAGAGTTACTGCCGGTCTCAAGTCCGTATAAAGGAGGTGGGTTGGGTATGGGGTTGTCAACCCCATCCCGTAAAAAAAAATCTTGCTAAAAAACGCTAACCAGATTGAACAAATTAAACCATTTCAAAGGTTCCTTTTATTTTATTTATTGTAGACTCGGGTATTATTACGAGAAGCTAATCTGATTCATGTAAACCTTCTATATTACATTACTCAACCAATCAAAAAAAATTTAAACCCACCTATTGTCAGTAGGAAACTCTGTACATAGGTTTCGCCCTAGATATTCTTCCTTAATAAGACACCTTAAAGTACTGTGCCTTCAGTGGGATTCAAACCCTCATCATTTAAATTCACATAGTGAAACAATACCACTGATCACAGTGATTATTGGCTGCCGATTAAAATTGATGAATACACAAATGATCAGATACATGATTTAAGGGCTTCAACAGAAATTGATTTAAAGTTTCATAAAGAAATTACAGTTATATTACACTATCTTAATCTGAATTTATCCTCCTTTATTTTTTTGGAAAAATCAAAAGTATTAATATACTACTTTCAAAATAGATAGTAGTATTCACTTGGTATTGTTTGGCTTGCATCTTCCCATTGAGATTTAAGACTGCAATTGATCAGTCTGTTATTGGCATATGTGCATACTGTGCGTATGCCTCGATATTGCCTTAATTCACAAGCTTTTTATAAGCAAAGATGAATAGTGGCTAGCAGTAGAATCCAGGACGAGCGTTTCGTCCTATCAGGACTCAGTAGCTGGGTGGATAACGCGATGGCGTTTGCAGCGAATGGTACTGGGTTCGAGTCTCAGAGTGAACATCAACTCTGAGGTACAGGTAAATCCAGCTGACGAGTCCCAAATAGTACGAAACGTGCGTCCTTGATTTCACTGCTAGCCACTATCCATCATTGCTTACAAATAGATAGTAGTAGTTATTTCATTTGTTCCGGGTTTTTTTCTTTCTTTTTTTTGTATGACAGAGTTCCAGGTGTAAAATTTGAAAATGATTGTTGTCCAGGTTATGAAAAAACTGAATTATTAGATAATAAATGTGCTTTTATTGATCGTTCATGGCAAACTATTATTGATCAATTAAGAGATCAAAAAAGTTTACAAATAGCTCAAACATTAACTAATGGTAATAATTTACAAGATTTATCATCGAATTCAACTAAGAATGTTTATACCGTTTTTGTACCACAACATGATGATGATATTACATTGAAAGAATTGGATTATATCAGGTAAGATTGAAATAAGTGTGTATGTATTGTTGTGAATTTTGACGAGATTATCATTTATGGACGAAACCAGTTAAGTGTATAAGATAATAGGTCTTGGATTTTGGCGTGGATTTCATTCATCCATTTGGTAAAATACCGTTTTGACATTACAGCTGATATCAGTTCGTGATGAAAACCTTAAACCTTAGGCATTAACACCGTTGGATGCCGGCTCGGTGGTCTAGTTGGTTAAGCGCCCGGCGCGAGACCGGTAGGCCCTGGGTTCGAATCCCATGAGGCGGGGTCGTGAGTGCGCACAGCTGGGGAGTCCCGCAATAGAACGGAACGGCCGTGCACTGTTTCCAGGTTTTCCATGATGGTCTAGCTTCAAATGACTCATGATCTCAACTGCTGAAATTACTACAGTCTCCACAAAACCCCTTCTGATATTAGGTCTAATCCTTAACCTTGACCATAAACTGTAAATCATCATTCTAATCCCTTACACTGGTTTGTACTCTTCATTTGGTGTTAGTTATTACGTGGACACTCTCAAAGTCCTTTTAGTATCTCTCAAAGGTCGTTCATAAATTATAGTCTCACCTGAATTTTCTAAATTAATGTGTTATATTGGCAAGGGGAATATAATGAAAACTGAAAACTCTAGATAACTGTTGCATCATAGCTTGAGACACTTCAACAATATTCACTGACAACACAATAGTAAACTGTACTTTTAGATCACTAATAATTTGTAAACTATGGAGAATCAGCTGTTTAGTGTTCTCGAGCTTTCCAGTTGACATGGTGAATTATTAGGTCTGGTATTTAGTCATCAAGCAGTTGCTGGCAGTTTTGTACTCCACTTCACTGAGTTCTATTTGAGCAACTATACAGTATTACTGACCCTCATATTTAAAACAATGCATAGAGTCATATCTACGAATCTGTACTTTATAAATGAATTATAGGAAACACCACCGAAAGTTGAAAAACACTTTGTAGGCAAATGGAATCCCAACAAAATTTCCTAAGTTGAAAAAGGTTAAAATCTTATTAAGGAGTATAACAGTCATGTATAATTGGAGTTATGGCTAGGTATCGGTTACTATACATCGTTTCGAATGGTATATGAGACAAGCACCGCCACAAAATTCATAATAACAACGATAGTCTATGTATATCATATATCAATCAATGAAATCTGAACAAATGACTGTTATGCTTAATTGTTATCTTTCTTCAATCAATGATAGTGTTTATGATCATAATTTCCACAGTACAATGATAGTCCCACCAAATGACCTACTAAATAAAAACAGTTAGCTTTATTGACCTTGTTAACATATCTTTATTCAATATCGGGAAGGAGTTTAGTGGATATTATAGTGATTTCAATAGTTGAGATCATGAGTCAATGGAAACTAGACCATCAATAAAAACCTGGAAACACTGGATGACCGTTTCGTCCCATTGTGTCACTCCTCAGCAATGTGCATCCATGATCCCGCCTCGCGAGATTCGAACCCAGGACCTATCGGTCTCGCGCGTGAACACTTTTCATAAGCTGGATGAAGAAAGAAAGCAATATCTAAATTAATTTAGGAATCATCACCAACCTATACTGAAGCAATAAATTATGCTTTACACATACATGTCATTATATTTCTTAATCAATAGTGCTCATCATCATCATCTCACCAGAGTCATGAATTCATTGATATATATTTCTATATTCTTGTTAACAATTAAACGTAATTATTAAATATTGAAATCATTTTAGTGATACCAATGCTGTAGGCGCAATGGTCTCTCCTGGTCGATGGTATTCAAAAGAATTTCATAATGGTCAAAAAATTCCAACCACTAAAGGTACTAATATAAAAGTGACAACTTATTCTAATGGAGTAAGTTGACTAAATTGTAATACGATTCAATTGAAATAATATTAATCATAGTGTGGTGTGGGTTACTTATATTCACACAAGTAGTATATAACGGTATTCAGGCATAGAATGTGTTTCGGTAGAAGGTCGATGAGGAAAGAACGGGAATGGAACGCTCTGTAATTATTTGCTCGAACACATTCGATTGTCCTCATTGATGTTCTTGTTCACTTCCTTGTAGATATTAAGATAAATTGGTAAGTTTAATGCATAACTTACAAGAACGAAGTAGCCTAAATGATACGTTCTTAATGAAATCAAACGGTGGAGTTCTGATGGAATAAAATTTGAAAGACGAAACCACTGACCGAATGTTTGGATAAATATATATGGTTTTTAAAAAGTATTTGACTAAACAAAATTGGAATGTAATCAATAATTGGTTACTTTTATTGTTTGTAACACCTTCATCACGACATCATATAAGATATTCAAGGAAATGGAGGTTGTAAACATCTATGAATATCACTTCTGTATTCATTCTTTGGTTTCAAACAGATCATGTAAAATGTGTGACATCAGTCAAATCCTGTTTGATTTTCAAGATATATATGATCTACGATCAGTACTTTTCTCAAACTTGTATGATAACTTGAATATCATAAAACTTAGAACATGACAACCATTGGTATCCATTTCTGTTAATATAGTAAAACAAGGTTTTTGATCTGCTATGACAAAAGTATGAACCCGAATTCAACGAATGATCAGTATTTAATACCACTGATTCTTTGGATCTGAATACACAAAAGTAAACAAACAAGTGAAGAGGAGCATCAGAACCGGCAAACGTAAATATGTGGAAAATTTAGCATCGATGGTGGAAAAGGCTGCAAGAGAAGGAAACATGAAACAACTGTATGATACAACAAAGAACTTCGATGGAAATTATTGTAAACCAGAACGACCAGTGAAAAGCAAGGAAGGTAAGGTAATCACCAACACTGAAGAACAATGAAACAGGTGGATAGAACACTTCAAAGAACTCTTGAATCGACCAGCCCCATTGAACCCACCCAATATCGAAGCAGCACCCACGGACCTCCCAATCAATGTTGGTCCACTGACAATTGAAGAAATCATCATGGCCATCATATAAATCAAGACTGGCAAAGCAGAAGGACCAGACAACATTCCAGCAGAGGCACTGAGACCAGACGTAGCGGCAACTGTAAGGGTACTCCACATTCTCTTCAATAAGATTTTGGATGAAGAACAAGTACCAAAAGACTGGAAAGAAGGACTTCTGATCAAAATACAGACGAAACGAGATCTCAGCAACTGCGATGACTACAGGGGCACCACTCTTCTTTCAATACCGGGAAAAGTATTCAACAGGGTATTGTTAAACAGGATGAAGGACTGAGTAGACGCTCAACTTCGAGACCAACAGGCAGGATTCCGTAAGGATAGATCGTGTAAATACCAAATCGCAACTCTACGGATCATTGTGGAACAATCAACTGAATGGAATTCATCACTCTATATCAACTTCATTGACTACGAAAAAGCATTCGATAGCGTGGACAGAACAACACTATGGAAGCTTCTTCGATACTAGGGCGTGCCTCAAAAGATATTCAATATCATACAGAGTTCATATGATGGATTACACTGCAAAATCGTGCATGGAGGACAGGTCACAGACTCAAATAGCTCTATTGATGATGATGTTAGGTTGTTAAACAAAAAAAATAATGGAAAATGGTTATCCTCTAAAATTCCCAAATAGATGGAATGTTTATGGTATAGTGAGACCTACTATAGCCTTGGCAGAAAGAAGCCTGTGTATACCTTACGATTTAGAGGTGATTCGAATAGCTTTTTATTAAAACAAAGGCTTAAATCAGTCATTAACAAGACGTATTATGCCGTGAAGGTCATTGTCAAAGAAAGAACAAGGTTCGTGTTTCATCGAAAAGCACCGTGTTTACTAATTTAAATGTGTGTGGAAGGAGTAGCCGTGATCTCAAAATTAGGGTGCCTAAACACATACCTAAATAGTTACAAAAACAATTTTTAAAAAATCAAAATCAAATAGCTCAATAAGAGTAAGGGATAAACATCCATCATCCTATTGTCGAATACATAATTGAAACAGGTCATATGATTGGTGATATTGCAGATTTTGTGGTGTTGCACAAAAGTGTAAAAGGTCGTGCACTAATGTTTATTGAAGCCTTGGTCATATGAAAACTCAAACCCCCCTTTTCACATTAATTTGTTTATTATCCTTGTGTCCTCTTACTCTCCATTTCTGATCTAGTTACTTACTTACTTACACCTGTTGCCCCAATGGAGCACAGGCCACTGACCAGAATTCTCTAACACACTCTCTCCTGCACCTTCGTTTCTAGTTATATCCAATTGTTTTCCATTCTTCTCATGTCTGTCTTCATTCCTTGGCGTAATGTGTTCTTTGGTCTTTCTCTTCTCCTTTGAATTTGAGGATTGCAAATGAGGACTAGTCTTGTGACACAGTTGGGTGATTTTTTCAATGTGTGTCCTATCCACTTCCAGCGCTTCTTCGTCCTGATTTCTCCCTCCATTGGAATCTGGTTTGCTCTCTCCTACAGTAGGTTGTTGCTCATAGTGTCTTACAAACGGATCCGAAGTATTTTGCGTAGACAACTGTTAATAAACACTTGTATCTTCTGGATGATGGCATTCGTAGTTGTCCAAGTTTCTGCCCTATACAGTAGAACTGCCTTGACATTTGTACTGAAAATCCTGACCTTGGTGTTGGTCGATAGTTGTTTTGAGTTCTAGATGTTCCGCAATTGTAAATATGCTGTTCTTACTTTGCCGATCCTCGCATTTATATCTAAATCAGATCCACTGTACTCATCAATGATGCTTCCCAGATATGTGAAGGTTTTTACATCGTCCAAATCTCCGTCAATTGTGACTGGATTGGTGCATGCTGTGTCGTATAGGAGAATCTTGCTTTTCCCTTTGTGTATATTGAGACCTACTTCTGCTGAGGCTGCTGCTACACTGGTCATTTTCTCCTGCATTTGTTGTTGCGATTGCGATAGGAGGGCCAGATCATCTTCGAAGTCCAGATCGTCCAGCTGCATTCTAGCTGTTCACTGTATCCCATGCTTCCTCCTAGCTGCTGACGTCTTCATGATGCAGTCGATCACCAGGAGAAAGAGAAAGGTTGAGAGTAAGCAACCTTGCCTGACACCGGTCTTTACTCCGAACGAGTCTTTGAGCTGATCTTCATGTAGGATTTTGCAGTTTAATCTATCATAGGAATTCTATATGATATTGACTGTCTTCTCAAGCACGTCGTAAAGTCAAAGAAGTCTCCATAGTGTTGTCTTGTCCACGCTATCAAATACTTTCCCGTAATCAATGAAGCTGATATAGAGTGATGAATTCCATTCAGTTGATTGTTCTATTTAACCTTTTATTTTTATGTATATAAATGATTCTTAACAAGTGTATATGTGATCAGATTGTTCGAAATATATTACGCTAATCTATTATCATATAGTTTTGATAATCTTCATCTTCTTATTACATTATCAACAAATTGTAATTTTGTACTAATGAAAAATGAAATGTTAATACATGTTAACTATTATCAATGATTATCCATTGATGGATAGAAGTCTACATCCTGTGCAAATCGCCTCGATATTGCCTTAATTCATAAGCATTCTAAACGAAGATGAATAGTGGCTAGAAGTGGAATCCAGTTTGACGCACATTTCGTCCTATTTTGGAACTCATTAGTTGGATGTACCTATTTCTCAGTGTTAATGTTCACAGTATGTACATATACCAATAAGAGATTGATCAATTATGGTTCTAAACAACAATGGGAAGATTCAAGTAAACAATATCAAATGAATTTAAATTTCTAGTCAACAGGAAACCCTGGACCCGGGTTTCGTGCTACTTGGCACTCGTCAGCTGGGTGAGACGAGATCGAATCCTCCAGAGAGCACCAGTTCCCTCAAGATTACAGGTACACCTTGTTGACGAGTGCCAAGTAGCACGAAACCTGGGTCCAGGGTTTCCTGTTGACTACCTCCAACTACCATCTAAATCTCAATACATAGTGCCCGTAGTGTCAAGTCACCTAGACTGGTGGCCACATTGCAACATGATCAATAGCATTCGATTTGCACTAATAAGGACTAGAAAAGCATGACATTGATCACCACCCAGTGATCAATCAATTATGAATTTAAACTTCACTTTGTTATACAAGCAATTGGTTATCAAGACTCAGTAACTAAGTGAATAACACGATTGGGTTTAAAGTGAACGGTACTGAGATTGAGTTCCAGAGTGTATATCAACTCTGTAGATGTAGGTATATCCGATTGACGAGTGACGAAATAGGACGAAACTCTCATCAAACTGAATTCCATTACTATCTATCTTTACCTATAAAACTCACATTGTTATGAATACAAATATGTATGTATGTACCAAATAATGAAGAGAATACAAAAGGTGAATTAACTAGTTTAAAACATTTTACATGGTAATAATAATCATAATGAAAGTTGATAATATCATGAAATGATTGTCCTATTATCAATGTATCATTGTATATAATCATCAATTAGTTATAAATCCATCTAGTTTAATGAAGCCATATAAAGACAGCTATATGTCATATACTTAGATCGTAGTTACTTCCCTACCCCCTACCCCCCAAAAAATAAAAAAATAATTTAATTTTCATTAATTCACCATAGAGATAATGGTTTAATTGAACTTAACTTTGGATAATTCATTGTAATTGATCATTCATTAAATCAGTTTACATTTTATTTAACTTTAATATTATTCATAATAATAATTATGAATTATTATATACAGTGATAATCATGGAAACATATTTAAATTAATCACTAAGGTAGCAACTATCATCTTGCAATCAATTTTGATTATGGTTACATTTTGATTAAACCATTTATTGATTCACTTAATTAATAGACAATGTTATTTGAATGGTAACAATTCATTTATTTTTTTGTACTGTTATGGTATGTGTCCCCTAATGCCCTGGTACGGACGAGGGTATGAAGAGTCTGCGCTCACTCTTGAAATGCTCTCACATGGCCACGCGTATATAGCCTCTGCCAGGGAAGTCCTACTCACTGCCTTCTCGCAAATTGAGAGGAAGAAAAACGAATATCCAGCGCTTTAAACGGCTTGATGGATATGGAAGGTCCACCTACGGAAGTTTGAAAACCCTGATGCCAAACCAATGGTACACATGGTCTCCAGGATCCTGAGGGTACAAATGGTGTATGAACCAATTATTGATCACTATCTACCATGAGACTGCATCTCCTGACGTTGCTCGATTGTCTTATGGATCAGACCTTTAGGTCAAAGGTTTCAGGTGTGGCCCCCTGAGAAGACTACCTGCTTCAGTCTGGGCACCCAAGCAGCATCACAGCGCACACACAAACCAAATGAGATTTGTGTGGAGCATGTGTATCTGTTGCCCCCTTATACCAAAATCTATGTGTTCAAATAAATAAATACTGTCATGGTCACAAAAGAACATGATAGACTGTAGTAAAGATGTTGATTGTTTATATATCACTTGATGGATTATTCTCTTCCTCATGTATATATGTATTTGAATCGTATTATTAGTCCTTTGCTTTGTCTTGCTGTGCCTTTATACGATTTGACTATAAATTTGCCTATGTAATTGCTTGCATATACTTATTCACCTCTCCGCTTGAAATACGCTCGATGTGCTTATAGCTTTGTGATCTGCTCTATCCCCTAATAAACTGTAGTTGCCACTTGTCATTTTAACCACCGTTGGAGATTTATATCATAGCGATTATCAAGATGTGGAAGTCTAACCCTAATAAGCTTCGACAGCTTATCAACACAACGTTTATACTTGCTCACAGTTAGCTAGTAAACCTCGTTCGGCTTTCACCATGTGGCTTCAAAACTCTTAAATGAAGACCTTTTAACTCCCAGGGCAGAGTTTAAATGGTTTGAATTATTTTTTTCTGGTTAGCATTTTTTTATCAAGTAAGATTTCTACGGGATGGGGTCGTGGAGCTTTCATCGTTCCTTTGAACGATATCATCAGCACAAACTTCAAGTAAAAGTGAAATATCAACAAGAACCAATCAACATCGAGGTCTACAGGACAAGCTATGAATCACATGTGGATGTCGTTCAGAAGAATGATGAAAGCTTCAGGACCAAATCATCTAGCTCAGAGAACAGAACTCTATAAAAAAAAGCTATTTCTATGTATTTCCATTGCAAGTGCATCTTCATTGTTGTTCCAGTGAATCATTGTACAGTGGTTTCTTCGTCAATCCAATTAGGATTAATATTCATATTCATATACAGTCGAAATGACTCAGGGAATAATGTATAGGCAATAATCTTTTACTAACTGAATAATTCACTTGTATACGTGTACATTAAACTGTAGTGTTTTAAAGTATCCTGTGATCAGTGTGACTCTGTTGTAAATATCTAAATATGTGTGCATATATACAATGCTAAATTGCATCGATATTAAAGGAATATGGTGATTAGTGTATGGTGTAATAATTTAAAAGATTGAATAACAAGAGATTAGCTGTCTACGTAAAATACTTCAGATCCATTGACCAGACACTATGAGCAACAACCTACTGTAGGATAGAGCAAACCAGATTCCAGAGGAGGAAGAAATTAGGACGAAGAAGCGCTGGAAGTGGATAGGACACACATTGAGGAAATTTTCCAACTGTATCACAAGACTAGTCCTCATTTGTAATCCTCAAGTTCAAAGGAGGAGAGGAAGACCTAAGAACACATTACGCCAAAAAATGAAGACAGACATGAGAAGAATGGAAAACAATTGGATATAACTAGATACGAAGGTGCATGACAAAATGGGTTGTAGAATGCTGGTCACTAGCCTATACTCTATTGGTTGTAACAAGCGTAAGTAAGTAAGTAAACAAGTAGTTTTGTTAACTTATCATTAACAAATAGAAGTGAGATAGTTTATCGATTATATGATGAATGAAAAACTATAAGATGAACATTCTGTTTTACTTCATGAAAGTGTAACATGACTGGGACTAATCTACATTTAAATTCAAAATACCCCTGTATCCAAAATAGATTTTCTTTTCCCTATTCATTATCCAGTTTTCTCGTATATCACTGAAATATTTTCATAAATTTCTTTTTCTAGTTAACTTTCTTGGATTGTAAAGCGTTACTAAGTCCAGATCATGAAGCATCAAATGGTTTAATTCATCGAATCGATGGAGTAAGTTAGATAAGCAAATGGTGATATACTCTTTTTCTTCTTTGATTTAGTATTTCAGTGCCTAGGTCATCATGTGATTACAAGCTAAACTTTACTGACCACTCGAAGCAACAATGCAAGCATGATCGGCATGCGATTCTCTCCCTCGAAGTGTAAAATGTTGCTTCAGGATTGGGTTGCATTGACACCCGAACTAATGATAGGGAGTGAAGTAGTTGAGCGTGTCGACCGCTTCACTTATCTTGGAAGTCTCATCAGCCCTTGTGGTCTGGTGTGTGACGAAGTCTCAGCACGGATACAGAAGGCTCGACTAGTTTGCTTTTGCCAACTTGCGTCATTTATGGCGTAGGCGAGATACCTGTCTATCAACCAAAGGACGTGTTTACTGCGCAGCAGTTCGTCCCGTCCTACTTTATGGCAGTGAAACATGGCCGGTAAGAGTAGAGGATATCCGTAGGTTACTAGTATTTGATCATAGGTGTCTTCGAAATATTGCTCGTATATCCTGGGACCACCAAGTAAGTAATGCAGTTGTTAGGAAACGGGTACTAGGTAAGAATAGCAAATCAATTGATGAAGTAGTGAAACTTGATCAGTTGAGATGGCTGAAACATTTGTTACGTAATACCAACCACCGACTGCCCCAATATGCGGTGCTTTATGATATAGGAGTAAGTTGGAAGAAAACTGGAGGAGGCCAGACCAAAACATGGCACAAATTCATGAAGTCACCGACAAGTGGACTGAGTCATGTTGGTAGGTGTCGACTAACTGGTTCCGGGGATCCGCGAGATGATAGCAAATGATGGTTAGAGACCTTGAATGACATGGCTAAAAATGGTTTGCAATGGTGCAGGTGTATCCACTCTTTGAGTTCTCCCAAATTTTATTCTTCTGAATTCTTCATGTCCCTTTCTTTTTTCTCTTCCCAAATTTATTTCACTAGATTATACTCCTTGAATAACATCTTCAAACTCTAATCTTTCCGATTACTACTTATACTCTTACTACCCCTACCACTATGGGATTTGAATCAACAATTGTATCTGTGTAGTAATGTGGTATGGCAACTTGAACCGATGTACGTACGTACGAAGTTCTACATTTGTACTGACTGATTGAAACTTTACTGACGGATTAATTACATATAAATCACTGGCGAATAAAATAGATTTACCAGACATTGAAACTAACTGTGAATTAAACGATGATAGATAGTGGCTAATAATGGAATCGAGTTTGATGCGTGTTTATTCCTATTTTGGATTCGTCAGCTGGATGTACCTGTATCGCAGAGTTGATGTTCACTCTGGGATTCTAACCCTGTACCGTTCGCTTCAAATCTGATTCCACTCCTAGCCACTATCCATCTTTGCTTACAAAGCTTGTGACTTAAGGTAATATCAACGGAATCCGCACAGGATGCATATATGCTAACAAGAGACTGATCAATTACAGTCCTAAATAACAATGGGAAGATACAAATAAAACAACACCAAGTGAATTTGACTGTGAATTAGATATTAGTAATTACATACACTGTACGTGTATGAATTTGAAAAACCATTCCAAGTCATTTACAATCATTCACAATTGATTGATCACTGGATAGCGATCAATGTCGTGTATGTCAGATCCTTCTTAGACCTTAGAAAATCACATCTAGCGGAGATGAATGTGCATATTATTATGAACTTATGATGTAACATGTTTTCAACACTTTCTACTTTTGTAGTGGATTTCTAGTTAATGTCAGTCCATGGTTTAAGTCACCTGTGAACAAATTTATATCTTCTGGAATTGATATAATATAGTAAAGCTTTTATGTATTTCATCGGCTTCATATCTGACTCCAGTTAAATTGTATGTTAATTGTTATCGAAATATACATACCACTGACCCAACCAGCATCTTATCTTAACACAGTGCATGCGATTTCCAGTCACCTAAACTGGTAGCTATATTGTAACTTGGTCGATAGGATTCGATCTGCACTAAGAACGACCTAACATACATGACATTGATCACCACCCAGTGATTAACCAATTGTAAATACATCTCAATTCTACAGGAGGTCAGTCGCAGCCTAGATAACTCAGTGGTAACGTCTCTGACTGTGAAACTCAGTGACACGGGGTCAAATCAGCCAGGGAGCATTAGTTTCCTCAATATTACAGGTATACCTTACTGATGAGTGCCAAGTAGAACGAAACCTATGTACAAAGTTTTCTGTTGACTACCTACAACCACCATCTTAAAATACAATATCATCTTCATCTTCAATGATAATGAAGCTGACTCATCGAATAAAAGCTAATCAACTTATTTAATGTTGGGTTATTATCAACTGTTAGAGCTACATGAAGATTGTTATGAATAAACTATACCACTGAGCTAAGATACGTAGTTTAGTAGTTACTATCAAACAGGTTTAATAGCATAGAATGATATAAAGAATCATGATAAACAGTTTAATTTGAATACACATCATGAAATAAACAAAAAAATGTATTTGGAATAGTATCAGAAGGGGGTATTTTGTGTAGATATTATAGTAATTTTAATAGTTGAGATCAATTGAGTCAGCTGAAGCTAGACCATCATGGTAAGAATCTGGAAGCATTGAACGGCAGTTTTGTCTTATAATGGGACTTCTCGGCAATAAGCATCCACGACCTACCGGTTTCGCACACGAGCACTTAACCACTAGACCACTGAGCCGGCATTCAACGGTGTTAATGTCTAACTTCAACTAATCCACGAAATTGTAATTAAAGACTACTTATTAGTTGTATTAAAATAATTAACTAATAAACACTGATCAAAAATTACTGTAACAAGTAATACGTTAGTAATTCATATATGATCTATACATATATGTTAGTTTGTAAAAATGTTCGCATTATGTAATCACATTGTACTACAATGCCTAATATGGGAGATTGATTGTGAATACAGTGGTTTTTAGTGTTGTGAGAGATATAAGGGCGGTTATCACTTACCGGTTGACCATACCGTGGAAGGGTTCTTACAGAGGTACCTGAAAAGGAAATTGGATTAAATGTGGTCTTAGGGACCTGAGAGCGTGACCGCAGTGCCCAAGGAATAACTGCTTGGGGTTTGTCACACATGACCTTTTTGTGAGTAATTTTCGTGTAAGCTCCGTACTTGATAAGACCTTACCTCCAGAGACGGATATTCGTGGAATAAAGCGAGGTGTGCATTTTTAGGATTGACCTTTGCTAACCCCACCATTCCTTTGTGGAAATCTAGCATCACTATTCTGATGGTTGTCTGAACGTAGCACCTTACTTCTGTAACACCTCTGTACAGTCAGCAGTAGGACATCTCCTTCGGACCTTGGGTTTATCACTTCTAGTCTTACCGTTCTTCAACCGACTTGTCTAGCATAGTAGGACCTTGAGGAACGCTTGTTCCAGCCAGCATAGCTCTGTTGCTTCATCATAATGGGCAAGCCCGACCATCACGTCAAGGTAGCAACAACGGCCTGGTCCTACATTATAGCTGACTGACTGACAATGCCTAATATAAAGCATACATATATGTAAGTTATGAGTGATTAAATCAATGTTATAAATTAAAATGTAGTGTTTACAGTTCGGATATATATGTAATGAGTAAAGTTGAAAGATCATATAAAAAGATTAGGATAAACTTTATGAATTCCCAGTCATATCCTTGAATGATTAAGAAACAATATTATTAAATCAATATATGACTCGATCTTTGCTGATCTGATAGTGATGATGATCATTATGTTAAGACAGAGGTAACGAATAGTTTAATATTTATTTATTTATTTGAATAAATAAATATTGGTACAAATAAACACCGAATAAATATGCCCCACACAAGTCACTTGGTTTGTGTGCGGGATCGGATACTGCCTGGGCGTTCAAACCGAAACAGGTGGTTTTCTTAGAGGGCCACATCCGGAGCCTTCGACCTAAAGGTCTGATCCATAAGTCAATGGAGCAACGTCAGGAGATGCAGTCTCATGGTAGATAGTGATCAACAATTGGTTTATACGCCATTTTTACCTTCAGGAGACTAAAGACCATGTGTACCATTGGTTTGGAATCAGGGTTTTCAAACTTTCCTAGGTGGATCTTCTGTATTGATTAACCCGATAAAGCGTTGGATATTCGCTTTTCTTCTTCTCAATTTCGTAAACAACACTTGTGTTGCGAGAAGGCAGTGAGTAGGACTTCACTGTTAGTGGATGTACACGCGCGGCCATATGAGAGCATTTGGGGGTAAATAGTTTGATACTTATTTATTTATTTGAACACATAAATATTGGTACAAAGGAGCCACAGCCTACTCTGGTCTAGATGACTTAATTGAGATACTGCTATGGGGTTGTGCTAGGGTCATGGCCTAATGACATAACAGTTTAATAATAAGCAGATGATTACACTTTCATCTCATGAAAAAATTCATTAATACATTAACACCGTTGGATGCTGGCTGGCTCAATCGTCTAGTGATTAAGCGCTTGTGCGTCAGACTGATAGGTCCTGAGTTCGAATCTCGTGAGGCGGAATCGTGGATGCGCACTGTTGAGGAGTCCCATAGTTTCCAAGTTTTCCATGATGGTCTAGTTTCCATTGATTCATTATCTCAACCATTAAAATTACTATATAATATCCACTAAACCCCTTCCTGATAATCATATCAAATTGAAGAAATCTGACTTAGATGTTCATAGGACAATCAATAATCAAAGATGATACGTACTAGTTTCATAATTTCCTTAAGTACTTTTATATTTATACCTTAATAATTAAGTTATGATCTCTTTGTTTATTTTATTCATCTTTATTGTATTAAGGCTCTTCCACCTACTTATAAATATCCAACAGTTTTGAAACGTCTAATTGCTGAACCAGATCTATCATCATTTGTTCAAAGTTTACCACAAGATATAAAAAGAAAATTAGATGAACCAGATTCAATTGAATGGTATACAGTATTTGCAGTACCAAATAATATTTGGAATAGAATAACATCAGGAATTGTTTCAACAGAAGTAAATATTCATTTATATTTGTACTATGAATATAGATGAAGTTGTTCAAATATATAAGGTGGTAGTAAGCAATATCAAGTAACTAATTGATTTATATCAGATGGGTTTTGTAGAGATTATAGTAATTTCAATGGGTAAGATCATGAGTCAGTTGAAAACCTGGAAGCACTGGACAGCCGTTTCGTCCCATTGTGGGACTCCTTAGTAGTGCGCATCCAGAGATAACTTTATAAAATAGGCTGTCAATTATGCAAACGATCAGAGGTATTAATTCATAAACAATTGATTAGTACAACATTGAGGTGTACAGGATAAGCTGTAAATCATATGTGGAGAAATTCGAACACTTCAAACTTCTACCTGAAGTATATGCTGCTGATAATGTCGTTCAAAAGAAGAAGAAGAAGAACGACGAAAGCTCCACAATCAAACGATCATTTAGCTCAGAGAACAAAACTTCATTAAAATCATCCAACTGAGCTACAAATCTTCTCTACTATCTCACAAACACATGAATTTATGCTACACATTTCTGTAATATGAAGTTTTATGATACTATTCAAATGTCAGAAAGAAAGTAGACTGAGCGATATTATGCTGAAACTACTAACAAAAACAAAACACTTCGTATCATAGATTACATAATAAATCTTGATGGAGTTTCTCCTCTGAGCTGGATGGTTTGGTCGTGGAGCTTTCATCGTTCTTCTGAACAACATCATCAGCACAAACTTTAGATTGAAGTGAAGTGTTCGAATTTCTCCATATGCGTTTCACAACTTGTTCTGTACACCTAGATCTTCTGTTTTATTATTTAATAGTAGTAATGATTAGAAGTACATTTATCTGATCTTCTTTAGGTGGTAAATACTAAATCCTACGGAATTTTAATTGGATTTTTTGGCTTAAAAGTTGTATTGTACAATTTAGCTTTTAGCTTTTACATTTCATTGTTATTATTATTATCATCACCTTAGAATGTCTTTTCTTTGTTAAGAAGAAGTTGTGAATTTTATACTCGTTCTTTAAAGTTAAATGTTCACTTGAGTTGATCTAGAGTTTTTTAAACAGATGCCGGTTCAATGGTCTGGAAGTTAAGCGTCCGTGAGCGAGACTGTATACGTCTTGGGTTCATATCTCGAGAGGTGGGATCGTGGATGCTCACTACTGAGGAGTTTCACAATAGAACGAAACGGATGTTCACTGCTCTCAACTTTCCCATAATGGTCTATCTTCAATTGATCCATGAATTCAACTATTAAATCACTATAATATCCATAAAACTCCTCTCGGATTACTTCTTATAAATCTTCTCATTACCTGGTTATATGTTGATAACATCTTTTCTTTTCTTTTCTTTTTTTTTCTCTAAGCTCAAAGAAGCTTTAGCACGACAACATGTCATGAATAAAATGCTTTGTTCAGATGCAATTGTTAAAAATACTAAACGTGTTGGTCCAACATTAGCTGAAACTTATATTGGTATTGAAAGAAATTCTAATGGGAATTTAATTATGAATGATATATGCAATAAACAAATACCTATTCAACGTACTGATTTAATGTCTGGTACTGGAGTTATACACATCATTGAAAATTCAATAAGTAGTTTAGAATGTAAGTAAAATGTTACATTTTACTACTACTACTACTACTATGTCGTCGTCAAGTCCCGTGACCCCTATTGTGAAATGAGACCAATAACTGTACACTTAAGCCTAGTGCTCACCCAATCAGGTCAACTGCTCAGCAACACATACAGCTCCAGGGCAATATGCAGTACTTCTCCACAGTTATGACATGGAGACCGGGTGAGAAACCCACAATTGACAGACAACATTCTCTGTCCAGATCCCGAGTAGTTGTCCCAGAGTTAATGAGTGACTTTTGTTGCACTTTTACACATCAATCAGAACCTCGAGATAACAACGACTACTATTACTCTAATTAATTATTAAGTAGTAAATAGTATCTTGTTGTCTAGACTTCAGTTATGAGTTATACAGATGAGAAAATCTTTACTGCTGTCTTAAATAACAATCCATCAGTGATCACATCGAAATTTGTGTTAGAAATCATTAAGCTGGTTAGATCTATACATTGAGATGAGTAGAGTTTAGTTGCTTACTATACAATTGCATCATATAAATTAAGTATAATCCTACATGTAGTATGTCTCTTGATCTAGTCCTGTAGATTATAATATATTCTTGATGGAATTATCTTTCCCTTTAGCAATGAAGTTAAATGAAGCTCTTGAATGCTTAGAAAATAATCCCTCACTTAATGTGAAACAAGCTGCCAGTGAAATGCGTAAATGTCAAATAGATCTTGGAGGTGGTCGTGATAATGTCATACTTTTATCGAATGATGGAGCTTTTCAATGTAAGTAAATCTATTTATATGATATAAACTAGTATAGGGATAATTTCTCAGTATAATTTAAGAGTTAACACTTAGATTTCATCCTACTTTAAGTTTGTTCAAATTCTTTTGGGGAGACTATAATCTATGGATGAACCAATCACACATTTAGGGTAATAGGTCTAGGATTTTGGCACGAAATGCACTCATCCATTCGTTCAAATAGCGTCTTGGCATTTTAGCTGATGTCAGTTCATTATGAAAACCTTAAATTTAAATCTTAACCCTTACAATCAACTGTAAATCATTGTCTTCATTCTTCAGCCTGGTTTATAACCTTCATTAAGCTCTAATAAGTAGGTAGACACTCGCAAGGTCACTTTGCCGTCACTCAAAGGTCGTTCATAAATTATAGTCTCACCATTCGTTTTAGTAACTATTCTACAAACATCCTTACTGTAATCTGATATAAAAGAATCCAAGGTAGATGTCGACCATCCAATTCATTACCTAATATCTTCCTTCCTCCTTTCTTATTTGATTAAACATGAAACTAATATTTAAGATAAGCAATTAGCCTATTGATTTGCATTCCAATACTTTTCATTGTAAATTAATACCAACTGGCTAATTACATATAGTAAACAGTGTTGAATAAGTAAAAATGGATGGTGTCTAGCAGTGAAATCCAGGATGCATGTTTCATTTTATTTGAAACTCATCAGCTGGATGTAGCCAAGTGGATAACATTATGGCGTTTGAGGCAAACGACACTGGGTTTGATTCCTGGAGTGAATATCAACTCAGATGAAGGTACATCCAACAGATGAGTTCTAAATAGGATGAAACGCGCGTCAAACTGGATTTCACTGCTAGCCACCAACCATCTTAGCTTAAAATGCTTGTGAATTAAGACAGTCCGCACAGGATGTGCATATGTTAACAAGGTACTGACCAATTACAATCCTAAACAACAATGGAGAGATATATGCAAACAATACCAAATGAAGTGATGAATAAGTACTTTTTTATTTAAAACCCCTAAAATAGCTTGTGCAATACATTAAATCCAACCCATGATCTTTAGGTCTTACAGTGAACATCATCCTATTAATTAAATGAGTGGGAAGTCCTTACCTGTGGTATTTAGGCCATGGTTCAAAATGACTCTCAGATCCTTCTAAACCATTTATCTTAGAATGAATTGTTTCGTTGTTTCTGTAGTGTTATGAACGGTAGTTATATATGGGAATAACAAGTAAATCATGTATCCAAAATGAAGTTAATAACTATTTTGATAATACTACTTGAAATCAGCATTTGAAAGTCCGCCTGTAGCTCTTCTTGAGTTACTGCCGGTCCCAAGCTCGGATAAGAGAGGGGGGTTAGGCATGGACTTAGCGACCCCATCCCGTAGAAAAATAACTCGCTAAAATAACGCTTACCAGAAAAAATAATTCAAACCATTTTAACTCTGCCCAGGGAGTTAGAAGATCTTCATTTAGAAGAATTATGACGCTTCATGGTGAAAGCCGAGTTCCTTCAGAAGCCACGAGGCCGATGCCCCTTCTAACAACCAGAGCAAAAATATTTATAGGTACATGGGACTTCCAAACGATGTGGGAGACCGGGAAGACCAGTCAAATACCAACGGAAATGAGAAGATACAACATGGCAGTACTGGGAATCAGCGAAACCCACTGGACCCAAGCTGGACAGAAAAGGCTAGCTACGGGAGAGATGCTGCTATACTCCGGTCACAAAAAGGAAAATGCTCCACACACTCAGGGAGTCGCTCTTATGCTGTCCAAAGTAGCACGAAATGCACTTGTAGGATGGGAATCTCACGGATCCAGAATCATCAAAGCATCATTCAAAACAAAGAAGGAGGGGATCTTAATGAATATTATCCAATGTTATGCACCCACCAATGATAGCAATGACGATATTAAAGATCAATTCTACGAGCGGCTGCAGTCAATCATAGAGAAATGCCCAAGAAAGGACCTCACCATTCTGATGGGAGATCTAAATGCCAAGGTCGGAATAGACAACACTGGATATGAAGATATTATGGGACGACATGGACTGGGAGAAAGAAACGAAAATGGAGAAAGATTTGCAAATTTGTGTGCATTCAACAAATTGGTCATAGGAGGCACAATATTTCCACACAAGCGTATACACAAGGCTACATGGATCTCACCGGACCACACTACAGAGAACCAGATAGATCATATTTGCATCAATAAAAAGTTCCAAAGGACGATGGAAGATGTGAGAACCAAGAGTGGAGCTGACATAGCTTCAGATCACCACCTAGTTGTACCCAATTTAAAACTGAAACTAAAGAAGAACTGGAACTAACTGGAACTAACTTATATCACGAATAAAACTGCCATGTCATAAGCGTTTTTCAAAATGATTGATAACGACATTAGTTACTGAATATTAGTAAGTAATATAGTTAACAATGATAAAAAAGTGAAAGTTGTAATCGATGATGACGATTAGCGGCTAAAACTCGAAATCTATCCCATTATTCTCTTAAATAAATGAATACCCGAGGTTTAAACAACCGATATGAAGCAATTGTATTCTTTCAAAAAAAACTCTTGGAGTTCTAGTGAGAAGCCGTTACCAGTGGAGTTCAACCAGGTCTGTTGTGAGATAACAACTCACTGAAGACAATGGTGTACGGTGGCGCAACTTCGTGGATTGGTTGAAGTTAGACATTAACACCGTTGGATGCCGGCTCAGTGGTCTAGTGGTTAAGTGCTTGCGCGCGGAGCCAGTAGGTCCTGGATTCGAATCTCGCTTGGTGGGGGGTCGTGGATGTGCACTGCTGGGGAGTCCCATACTGGGACGAAACGGCCGTCCAGTGCTTCCAGGTTTTTCATGGTGGTCTAGCTTCAGTCGACTCATGATTTCAACCTATGAAATTTCTAATATGACAGACATTTGATATATAAGTAGAGATGGATGATGGCTAGTAGTGGAATGCAGGACGTACGTTTTGTTTTATTTGGGACTCGTCAGCTGAATTTATCTGGATTGCAGAGACAGGTTAAGTTCAATCCTAAACAACTAATATACATCTAATATGTCGTTTCTAGAACAAAATATAAATATGATAAAAGTCATTAACACTATCAACGAATATATGATACTAGTCTTTTAGATTATTTCATCAATCAATAAAATGAAGACGTGATTATCAGGTTGATACAAGTAAACAATACCATGTTAATATCACTTCACCCCATTACACAAGCATCTGGCTATCAGGGCTCAATAGCTAAGTAGATAACGTGATGGCTTCAACATCAACTCTGTAGATGCAGGTACATCTAACTGACGAGTCTCAAATAGGACGAAACGCCCATCAAACTAGATTTCATTGCTATCCCCTATTCACATCTTTACTTGTAATGCTTCCAAAATAAGGCAATATCAAGGCAGTCCGCATAAGATGCACACATGCCAACATGAGACTGATCAATTACAATCTTATGCATCAATGAGAAGATTCAATTGAATCAGATTGATTCAATTACATAATACACTTATGAATTTACACTTTTTTTTAAAACTTTTCTAGCTAAATTCTACAAAGAGAATATAAGACAACTACAATTAGATAAATGTAAATTATATTCACATCATTTATTAAAAATAAAAAATCCTCAAAATGTTGACGTATATAAAACTGGTTTTAATCAAGAACAAGAATTTACAACCCAATATACAGCATTAGATGATTCAAAGTATTCTGTTTATAGTAGATATATTAAAACAAGACATGGTACAAAAGTAAGTCAATCATGTGGATTATTTATGATTCATAATAAGATATTGCTAGCGTATGTGATATCCTAGTGATTAATCTAACCAGTTTACTATGATGATCTATGGTGTTTGAATGAACTAATGATACCTTTATACTTGTTGATTGCTTGATTTCTAAATCTAAATACAATACATTCGTTTGTGGTTAACTAGTACTTCTTGACCCGATTACGTTATTTCTGGGAATCTTAGTTCGTACTATAATTCAAATACATATAAATATTACATTGGCGTCGCGATGGAGCCTGTGATGGAACGTTTGGACATACATTCAGATCTTGATGCTTTTGAGGATTACTTCGAAAGGTTCGAAATTTGGGCTATGATTAAGAAAGATGATGAGGATGTTAATATTGTGGCACACTTCCTCACATTCATTGGAAAAGAAGCATACAGCTTATTAAAAACTCTGGCTATGCCGGAGAAGCCCATTTCGCTTTCTTATACAACTCTTCAGGATCTACTGATAGACTATGTTAATTATACAAATTTCGAATGCAGTAAAGGAGGAAGGTCTCGTAAAATGATTCATGAGGATATAAAAAATTCCATCACATTACTACGTCATCCCAACCCAGTGCATACTCAAGGTTATTCAGATAATTCATTGAGGAGTTGCAGTGCAGTTAACGAAGATGGGCACAAGTTTGGTCAATGTTTGTCCTGTGGCAAGTTCCACTCTTTTGATTCATGTAAATTTCGTAATTCTAAGTGCTTTAAATGTGGTGATATTGGACATATTCAGTCAGTTTGTAATGCTAATGTTCATCTTACTGCAACTAATATTAAGTCTTGTAATTCTGATTTTACTGAGTCGAGTATTCATGATAATCATTTATCTTTATCAACGATTTCAGAAGATAGTGCAGAGTCATATGGCAGTTCAGAGTTAAGTGAAACTCAGAATTCTTGCGAGACAACAGTTCTTAATCAATCAACTTATCAGATTTACCATGTTATTGTACCAGATATGTTTTTTTCCTAATGTATCACATATTTTTGACAAAATTCCTTGCAACTCTGAGGAAAATGTGTTGAGTGAACATAATTATGATCGAAAACCTGATGTAGTTTTGATGGATGCTGATTATTCTAATGATCTTTTACTCTGCAATGACATTCCTAGTAAATTTGAGGAAACTATTTCACAAGAATCAAATCTTGATGTTCTATCAAATATTATTTGTCGTCATAGTGCATTTGTTTCTTGTGGGAAACTTGTTCAGTGCGAAGCACAAGTACAATTCGGATGATTTCATATCAACTGCTGTTTATCCTTATCATGAAGTCACTTCTCATGTATACTCTATTCAGTGTGAGAAATATGTTTTAAATGAAGCCACATCATTCATAAATTGGGGATATGAAGATCCAACATTATTTCATGGGGGAGGATAGTCTGAAAGTCTATGCTTCAAATTCTAGGTAGCAGTATTTTCAGTACACAACCGACATGTTGATTACACAATACCAGGAACCAGATAATAAAGAGTCCTTATCCAATACACTGTCCGACAGACACAGGATGAACTTGAGAAGAAGACGTACAATTGATTACAAACACGTAGACTCCAAATTAAGCTGTGGCGGATGTGGTGTTTGAATGAACTAATGATACCTTTATACTTGTTGATTGCTTGATTTCTAAATCTAAATACAATACATTCGTTTGTGGTTAACTAGTACTTCTTGATCCGATTACGTTATTTCTGGGATTCTTAGTTTGTACTATAATTCAAATACTTTTAATCATCACATGATCTCATGGAGAAAATTTGATTTATACTTGCTTAGAATATCTTAAAAATGTTCGCTTACAATTACATATAGAATGAAGTCTGTCATTTGTAGTCCTTAAGATAGATCTGTTTCTGTTCAAATCAATCAATGAATATTTGATGTCTTATATATTCAGTTTCAGTCCACCTAAATTTTGTTGTTATCTTATGAATAGATTAAATGCTTATATGTTACCATAAGAGTTTTACTGTTTGTTACTTACTTAATGTTATAACTTGTGGCCTATGTGCCATGTTAATGTATACGTAGCGATGCTGCCAATTAGAGGGCAGTGACTTATCAATCGGACCAATGACGCCTAAAAGAAGTACGAGCAGTCTCGAGTCCTTATCGGTCCTGCTTCCCTGTCTAGCCCAGCCAGTTGAGTCCAGAACGCAAGTCTCAGCCTCTGAGATATGAATCATTGTATTTCAAGCGTACTCTGTTTATATACCAATCAACCCGACCACAACGTACCAATAAAATAGAAAATAACATTTGTACAAGACTTAGCCAGAAGTGGCTGTTAACGTGGGAGGCAGTGACTAATAGACAGGGAATAATTCAAGAATGGTATATCGTATAATAATAGTTCATAGATCAAAATGAAGCTCATATTACGAGGGACATGAATATGAATAGTTTAGTTACTTAACAATTATACGATATAAGTATACGCATAGCATTAGTTCATAAATGGATCCCAAAAGCTACCATTCATTACGCTTATCGGAAGATAACACTTAAGAAATATTGTTTGAGGGTAATGATAGTCATAATAATAATAAATAAATAAGATTAAAATTCAATAATAATCAAATAAAAGTGAAGAAGAAAGGAAAAGTAAAAGAGAACCCAAAACATAGCAAGGTCAAGGAAGCATAAGAGGTTGAACGAATCGTTTTTGTACAAGCAAAGTTCATGTTTGAGTTGATGGATTATCAATACCTCAACAGTGCATTCAATATTGATTTGACATCCCTTCAATCTAATTCCAAATTCAAACATTATATAATGAAACTATGTAATGATGTTAAATACGATCGTGAATTACAACTAAACATCAAACAGAAAGCGTTCTAATCTATTCCATTCAGGAAAAAAAAAACTTATTTTGTAATGATAACAATCTTTCTATTTTAGTATCAGAATGATAGATCCTGGGTTCGAATCCCTTGAGATAGGGTCGTGGATGCGCACTGTCACTGAGGAGTCCTACAATGGGACGAAACGGTCGTCCAGTACTTTCAGGTTTTCCATGCTGGTCTAGTTTCAATTAACTCATGATCTCAACTATTGAAATTACTTTTATATTTTACTTTAAATGGAAATAATACACATTTTATTCTCTTTCTGTTATATATTACAGTTAACATTTAATCATGCTGAAGCAACTGACTTACATCCAATAAAGTTTCATGATGGCGTTATCCATATTGTAAAACAAGTAAATTTACCACCACAAGGTGATATCTCTTCTTTGATTCAACAAAAATCAAATACAAAGTAAGTGAATACTTTGATTGTGCTTGGTTTATTTGTTTAAACATATAAGTATTGGTACAATGGGGTATCAAATCTATACGCGCCATGTTCGAACTAGTGACCTTGTGCCTTATTAATGTATAACTTAATGATAAAATACGAATTAGAGAACAGTGGCTTATCAACTGAACCAATGACGCATCAAACTTGTACGAGTAGTTTAGAGTACTTATCGATCCTGTTTCTAGCCTAACCCTGCCTGTTAACTCCAGAACATCAATCTCAGCCTCTGCACGATGAATCATGTATTTCAAACATACGGGGTTTATATACAAACCAACCAGACCATATCGTACTAGAAAATAGAAAATAACATTTGTACAAGATCTAGCCAAAAGTGACTGTGAATGAGAGAGGTAGTGATTGATAATGGTACATGGTATAATTATAGTTTATAGGTTAAACTAAAGCTTATAATAAGAGGAACACAAATATGAACAATTTAATTACTTAACAATTATATGTGCAGTATTAGTCCAGAAATAGATTCCAATAGTTACCATGCATTATTCTTATCGGGATATAACACGCCACACAATCGCAATGAGAATGTGAAGAGATAGAGAATGTAACGTGTGTGTAAGGAAAAGGGAAACAATAACGAACAGAAATTAGAGTATGAAAGTGAAATAATAAAAATAATGAGAGAAGAAGTTCAGTTAGCAAAGGTACAACCAGAAAGAATTCTTCCAGTTAAAGAAATTACGTCTATTTTTTTAAATGAAGAAAGTAAAATGAAGTTACAGCAGGATCGTCACTGGCTTTTATTCTGAGCTATATCTGATAACGTCTCTAGCCACTGTGTTGCACTAGGACCCCAATCAGGGGGTCGTGGAGAACAATCAGAAGCCAGTTCTGTACAAATTTTCTTCATACCACAATATCATGTCACTTTTTCCAACCAGTTTCAGCATTGGAAAATAATACACGATCTGGAATTCTCCGGGACGACATTCCTAGAACATGTTCAAACCACCGAAGTCGATGTTTCAAGATAGTGACACTAAGTAAATTATCGTCACTGTTCCCAAACATACGATATCGAACCTCTGCATAACTAACATGGTGTTGCCACTAGATGTCAACAAACCTTCGGCCACAACGATGATCAAACACAGTGAGTTGTCTAACATCCTCAACTCGGACAGACCAGGTTTCACAATCATAGAACAAAACTGTTCTCACTGACTCATTGTAAATCCTACGTTTTACAGCCAAACAAACATCATAAAACTACCAAAGATAGTTCAAACTGATATAAACCTCTCTCTAGCTTTCATCTCTCACGTTACCCAGATATATAAACATCTCGATAACTTCTATCAATAATGAAACTCTACACTATAGCTAACTATTTCATATCCGAGCATAGTATCATTGATTATCTATGAAACAATGAAATAGTCTTTATGATTGAAATCATGAGTCAGTTGAAGTTAGACCACCATGGAAAACCTCGAAGCACTGGACAGCCATTTCATCCTCGTATGGGATTCCTCAGCAGTGTGTATTCAGGTTTTCCATGATGGTCTAGATTCAATTGACTCATGATTTCAATCAAAAACTTAACAATCTCCACAACACCTAAACTGATCAATATTCTTTACTTCTATTTTTCTTTTCTTTTTTTTTAACTTTTACTTTTAAATTATCAGGGAAATTTCAACAAAATTTCTTTCAACTAATTTTCATCAACAATTAATTCCATATTCACCGAATATTCTATTCTTGGCACCAATTGATGCAGGATGGAAAACAAGAGATTTAGAAAATTCTTATTCCATTGAACAAACTCGTAAAGTAAAAAAAATTAATCAATAATGATGTATCTATGCGGGTTTTAAAAAAAAATTTAGTTACTATGCTGTGTGTGTGTGTGCGTTTTTTTATATTTATAAAACATGATGGAATCTGAAAGAGAGAAAGAACAAAAAGTAGTACAGGTTCTTATCAGCTGCTTACAATCAATGTTATTACAGAAATTAACATCCTTATCATAAATATGAAGGTGATTTGAAATGAATCTATGGGGCTAATCCGTGTCGGATAGAGACAGGTATCTACCTCAGTACAATGGAAGTTGGTCGCGCAATTTCGTGGATTGGTTGATATTAGACACTAACATCATTGGATGGCGGCTCAGTGGTCTAGTTGGTTAAGCGGCTGGCGCGAGACCGGTAGGTCCTGGGTTCGAATGTCGCGGAGAGCGGGATCGTGGATGCGCATTGCTGAGGTGTCCCATACTAGGACGAAACGGTCGTCCAGTGCTTCCAGGTTTCCAACGGTGGTCTAACATCAATTGATTCATGATCTCAATCAAAAAGAATCTATGGGTATTATGATGTAGTGAAGATTTCAATAGGGTTGTTAATAAGATTATAAATATTGGTTGTTTTGGATAAATAAAGTTTAGGAGGGAAGGTTCCAAAACATTGAATTAGTGATTAGAACTCATGAAGTAATGAAGTAACTGAAGATAGATTAATGACAATAAAGAAAGATATGAACTGAAGAAAATGATGATGATGTAATTTTAAACTTGAGAAAGAGTTGAAATAATGAATGATGTAATAAATATAGAAGGGGGGGGTGTAATGCTACTAGGGCAAAGAAAGATTTATTACTGATTCTTTTTGGATACATAAATTTGGTTTAAAACATTTGATCACTATCACTTTGGCAAATTTCAAAAGATTGGAGTTTGATTGTTTGTTATTTACTTTGAAATACTTCAGTGTATCGACCTGATGTTCAATGTTAACGAGATGTTTTGTGATGGTACTACTGAATGCATTTTATCCATTTGACTTTTAACGTTTCGGAATATGTTCTTTGAATCGGATGTAGGTTGTCTTTTCTATCCTACCAATGTAACCGCTTTGATAGATAATATGTACACACACACTTGGTGGGATACCTATCGACCTTCGATTGTATTAAAGAACGTATTGTTTTGGATAGAACAAACAATTTAGTTACAGGATAAGTTCTTGTCAACGTAGTTTTTAGTTTCATATTGATATTGACCCTGTGACATCATCATTTTTGAATTTTAGTTGAATAAAAATAGGGTTATTTTCTATTGACTGTGGTTTCTTTGAGTTATTCCATCTTCACGTTTTGCATATCTCTCAATACATTTCAATAGGTATCTGTTATTCTTTAAACACTTTTTTAACATTCATAACTTCCTCTTCTAGTGTATCGGCAGTACATATACTTTCTGTACTGTAAAACAATGTTTTCGTTGAATCATCGAGTTCATTGTGTTTATATAATGTGTACAACGTTAGATAAAACTAGTACATTGGTTAGACGGTGAGTGGAGGGATGAGAGGTGTTATATGATTTGTCATTAATAGAGAATGCCTAGAAAATGTATTAAGCATATCCAGTTATCATGTACTCTGAAATCCCAAGCTCCCAATTATGGGGAAAATTTGACCCATTTTGGGGAAGCCACTATAGTAAACTTTGGGGAAATTTTTGGGTTTTCTGCTATTTCCCCAAAATTTCCCCAAAGTTGGGAGATCGGGATGTCATAATTTTTGAAGGAAGGAAATATAAAAAAGACAAATGTGGTTTATATGATCGATTAACAAAGTTGGTCACGGTCAATTTTGATCCTGAATTTTAAAAGAAATAACTATAATCCATAATTTTGAAATATGAGATTATATTCTTTACAATTTACTTACACCTGTTAATCCTCGTGGAAGAGAATAGGCCACTCACCAGCATTCTCTATCCAACTCTGTCTTGGGCAAATCTTTACAGTTGTTACCAATTGCTATTCTTACTTTTCATATCTGCTTCCAATTTCCGATGCAGTGTGTCCTTCAGCCATCCTCTTTTCCGCTTCCCTTCAGGACTCCAAGTTAGGGCTTGCTTCATGATGCAGTTAGATGATTTGCGTAATGTATGTCCTATCCATTTCCATAGTTTTTTCCTAATTTTTTCTTCACCTGGAAGCTAATTTGTTCTCTCCCACAGTAAGCTGTTACTGATGGTATCCGGTCAATAGATGTTGAGTATCTTGCGTAGACAACTGTTTATAAGTACTTGTACCTTCTTGATGATGATTGTAGTAGTTCTTCAAGTTTCTTTAGAGTATATATCTACAATAAGCATTGAATGTTTTGTCTTCCACCAAAGCTTACAACTCAATTTCATTCAAACTTAACAATAAGAACCAATATGACTTTTTTTGGTAATATATATGATTCATCTATCTGTTTACTCGATACTAGATTGTATTTGAGTTAGAAGTGATAATTTACTATTTTCAGAGAGTGGTTTTGTGGCTATTATAGTAATTTAACAGTTGAATTTATGAGTCAGTTGAAGCTAGACAACCATTGAGAACCTGGAAGCACTGGACGGCGGTTCCGTCCTATTGTGGAACTCCTCAACAGTGCGTATCAGCGATCCCGCCTTGTAGGGTTCGAACCCAGCACCTATCGGTCTCGTATCAATCGCTTCACCAACTAGACCACTGAGCCTGTATCCAGTGGTGTTAATATCTAACTTCAACTAATCCACAAAATTGAGCAACACATCCACCATTGTCTTCAGTGCGTTACTATCCCACAACAGACCTGGTTGAATTCCACTGGTCACTGCTTCTCACTAGAACTCCATGATATACATCTTGAAGCCAGTCAAAAGTGAGCATATGTTAATTAGTATAATAAATTATAATAACTTTTGTATTATTATTTCTTCTTCTTCTTCTTCTTCTTCTTTGAATAGCTTTTACAATTGCATACTATTCCACATGGATTTTTCGGCAGTGATGATGGTTTTATTGAACGTGGTAGTGTACTTGTAGTTGAATCACTTTTAACTAATTTACAAGGTGAAAAAGTAGAATTATTCATTAAACGTACACCAGATGGTAATACATTTGTTGGTCATAAAGATCTTAAAGAAGAATTATGGGTAATAATGAATCTTTCTTTATTGTAAATTATTATTGTTCATGTAGATATATAGTTTATCTAGTGTAGTGTGTACTTGTAGTGGCTGTGTTTCGTTGATTAATCACCCTCGTAACCGTTACCATATAATCCTCAACGGTGTTTGAAATCAGAAGGCAAAGAGAAGCAGCGACTACAGTTTTATTGGCAGATAACTCAGACCACAAAGCAGTGAGGCGAATGAGCGAGTCAGCGAACCGAGAGTGTAGAGTGTATAGAGTGTAAATGTACATGTGTATATATGAGAAAATGAATGGATCATCGAATCAATTAAGCAGTTAATAATAAAGCAAGCAGAATGAATATATGCGTAAGAGGTAAATAATGTTCAAGCATACATATTTCATACAAGCACAATAATAATAAAGATACAATAAGTTGTTATAGTACGGATGACTTTGTCCGCTAAATAAGTTAACAAAAGGGCTTAACCGAGTTAAATGAGAACAAACTCAATTGCACGTAAGTTGCTATATACTACTAATATCGACAGATATAAGTAGTGTATATGAACAATCGAAAGTGAAATGTCCGGGGGGAGGGGTTGAGAAAATTGAAGAGAAGAATATGAGAACAGTGAGTAATTGATATGAAAACGAAAGAACAACCAAGTCTGAGACAACTGACGGATATTTTACAAATAAAGTATTTACTGGATGGCGCTTAGATTTTACCAAAATACTCTGTCATGTTATATTAAAGTATATTTAGTTGTTCTCGCCTGTGTTTTCATTCACTGCACTAATTTCAATGAGGTAATAGTAAGCGATTATCCTAACCTGATTTCCAGATTATCTAGCCACCAATTTCTTGTAGTATAACTAAATATTGACTAGGCTAATAGTCAGTGAACTACAACATAGGACCAGGCATATTTAGTGACCCGTGAATCTGACTCCTGTTTAGATAGTATGGATGTTTGTTATCGCTGATTCTCGTATATCATCGTCGACTTGAATCGCATTATCCAATAACGAAATTAAATAAGTCGAATAACGAGAATTGACTTGAGAATACATATATTTCGAATATGAAGCGAATAAAAGAGTAGAGCAAAATGACACGTATGGAAGATGGCTGGGAAGCCAACTCCATCTTTGTCAAGCGTTACTCAATATTTATAGTCAGACAAAATAAAGCTACAGACATGTGATTAATGGAATAAGAAGGGCACACACATATACGCTCATATAAAAACAGTCTAGATTGATAAGAGAATAAATAACAAGGTCAATGTATGGCTCAAGTAAAATGAATAGAATGGGATGTCCGAAAGCTCGAATAAGGTATATGGGCTTGGCATAATAACTGACACTACACATATATGTGCATCGATTCAAGTTGCCATACCTCATCAACACAACAAAACGAACACAAAATTCATAGAAGTAGTTTAATCAGAGGTGGTAATACAGGAAAGAAAGATAGCATGTAAGGACATAGTACAGGAAGAGAGAATCAGTACGTAGAAAGGAAGATATGAAGCGATTTTAATCTTATGGTTTAAAGGAAGACAAAGAGTGTATACTCTTACGCCATTATGATCAATTCTAAGCCATGTCACCAAGAGTCTCCAATCATTGGTTACGATAGTCACACGGACCCCAATCAAGCAGTCTGCATCTACCAACATGGTTGAGACTAGAAGTTAATATCTTCAATGATTGATGCCACGTCTTGGCAATAAGCTATTGAGTTAAATTAGCCAACTTTATTATTATTATTATTTCAATTCAAATCATTCATCTATCTAACTCATTCACTTATGTATATTGATTGTTGTTCTTCCATTGTCTATTTATTATGATAGTCTATGGTGATTGATTGGAATAAAGTTGGACAGAATGGTATTGTTTGGTTTATTGATTGGCCAATGAAATGTCCAGAACAATTATGTTAACAATGTTTAATCAATATTTTAATGAATTTTAACTTTAATGATAAACAACTATTAGTCTATTGTTTATTGATCCATTATGTTTTGTTATAGTAAATGATTGTTTATTTAGTGTTAAATCTTTTTCAATAGTGAAATATAAAACTTTTGTTTTATGATTCGTTAGTATACTTCGATCTGTACTAATAATAAGGACTTGACACACATGACATTGGATTATCACCCAGTGATTAATCAACTGTGACTACATGTCAGTCACGGCCCGGATAGCTCAGTGTTAATGTCTCTGACTGTGAAGCTGGGTGACACAGGATCGAATCCGCCAGCGAGTACCAGTTCCCTCAAGATTACAGGTACACCTTGTTGACGAGTGCCAAGTAGCACGAAACCCAGGTCCAGGGTTTCCTGTCGACTACCTCAAACCACCATCTAATACTTTTTATGTATTTATTAAGAATACTTAACTCTATTCAATATACAACTGATATTTACATGATTTGATTAATTGTTGAATGAATTCATATTTGAATAGGAAAATGGGTAAATATATTTAATTGAAGACAATTTATTTGTTTATTTGAACACATCAATATTAGTACAACGGGGCACCGAATACATATACGCCACACAAGTTACTTGATTTGTATTTGGGGTATGATACTACGCGGGTGCGCAGACCGAAACAGGTGATTTTCTTAAGGTGCCATACCCGGAACGTTCGACCTCAAGGTTTGATCCATAAGAGAGTGGAGCCACGTTAGAAGATTCAGTCTTATGGTAGCCGATGACTAATAACTGGTTCGTACGCCATTTGTTCCCTCAGGATACTGGAGCCCATATGCGTCATTGGTTTCGAATAAAGGTCTTCCAACTACCCTAGGCGGATCCTCCGTGCCACCAACCTGATTAAAGTGTCGGAAATTTGATTGTCGTCCTCTCAATTTCGTAAGCAACACTAATGCCACGAGAATGCAGTGAGTAGAAATTGCTTGTTTGTGGTTGTATGCACGTGACCATGTGACAGCATTTGGAAAAGGAGAGCGGACTATCCCAACCCTCAGTAGTACCAGAGCATTTGGCGGCTAAATTTTATACAACTAAATATTTGAATATAGACGAGTTATCTTTGAGTAGTGAGTAAGTTAGTGCGATATTATGCGAACAGAAAAGTGAAGAAGCTGTGATATGCGATGGAAGCCGTTTTTAGGAACAGTATCTCATTTCATTCAAAGCTCTTTGAATGCTAATATTTAGTATGGTCCCTAGTTTGTTCCGTGAGCCATAAGTTTTTATTTGACGTTTTGCATTTCTTATCTATAATGGTTCGGAGGTTAACATGTCTGAGTGTTTGTGAAAAGGGTAACGGATACGTGAAACTTGATAATCCTACTGCGTTAATCTCTACTTATCAAGGTCGAAGGAGCCGGAAGTCGTTAATAATGAGATATGAACGTATATTGGAAACATGGGTCGATATATCACAGCGTATGAAATGTAAGCCGACCGGTTATAGTGGAAAGGCTTGATCCGGCTCTTATAGCTAGTGATGTGTCCGGCAGAGTTAATAAGGTCAAAATTAACGTCAGAGATAACAGAACGATTTGTTTTGATATATTTACCGCTACAGGCCGAACTTCTCCGAAGCCATCGTTGTAAAACTGAAGTCTCATAGACTCAGATTCAGTTTCATACTTGTGTATTGAGGACAGAAGGTCTACGGCATTCGTTAGTCCTTTCCTAGTAAACTTCCGAGAGTGTCTATTCTTTTGTTGAATGAGTAAATTGAAAGGCTTTTAGGAATTGGTGAGTCGGTGTAAAAACCTATATACCAAGGACATTTTGTTCGTTCTTGGCCTTCGCACTCGCCAGTCATGTCTTCTGAGTTGTCTTGATTTGTAGGACGAAAAAGATAGGACATATCAGATGAACTATCACTTCTTATCATTCCATTCATTAAAATCCTATCACCTCTTAATCTGTCGTAGGACAGAGTAAAGACGCCTAGATTCTGAAACCACTCTTTTTGCGGTAAAAACCGGAGTTCCGTACTTATTCGGGTAGCTTCTCTACATAAGTTTTAAAGATATGTGAGTCACCTTTTAAACAGGCGTCTACAGCCTGAACTCAGTTTTCAAGCTTGGACCTCGCCAAGGTCATGTATACTGTAGTGAAAATAGTGGCGTCTATCATCTTGAATGTCCATCTTAAAGCCCATAGGGTTCTGAATCCCTTAGCTGCAACTTCCTGACAGGTTTTCAGATCACGGGTCACTGCAGCCCCAAGATTTTTGCGAGGTCGGACTACGGGCACTGACTTTTCCCGTCTGATGTACATATTTACCTTTGTATCCTAAAATTGAATGCAGATACACTTGACCGCGTTGATAGAAATATCGTAGTCGCTGGGGCAGCAATAGATTGTACGATTTGTCCCAAGAATTTTTGATGTGGTTCATTCGGTCTTGTCTATATTTCCGTGTCTAAAAAGCTAAACGCCTAAAGTACAGAAGGTTTGCTGGCTCATTATTTGGGTCTAGTTCTTCGTCTAGAAGGGGCTCCAGAGTAAAAACCGTCCCAAAGTAGTTTGACATAGCCTCTTCTTTGTCCTGGTCACCCTTTAATATTTGAAATCTACTCCCTTCCTTAGTTAGGCTAGAAATCCAATGCTATACGTGAAATGTCTCCTAGCCTTCCTGAGCTAAATGTGGTTTACATTTTCTCTGAGCTTCCTCGGTTGTAGTTATACACTTAATTCGTACCGACTTAATTCGTACTATCATACTTACTGTACCAAAGCTGATCGAGATTGTTATGACTTTATGTCCGGCTTTTTTATCACGTGATATATCCATCAATCAAAATACGACTTATACAATCGGGTTTTTCCCCTAAATTTTCCCTGAATTTTACGCTTTTCCCCAAAATTCCCCCTGACATTGGGGTTTTTCCCCGAAATTCCCCCTGAATTTTGCGCTTTTCCTCTGTGTTTTGGGTTTTTCCCCTAAATTTCCCTTGACATTAGGGTTTTTCCCTAAAATGTCCCCTGAATTTTGAGCTTTCCCCGAAATTTCCCTGATTTTCGAGTTTTTCCCCCAAAATTTCAACTGAATTTTGCGCTTTTCCCCAAATATTTTGCGTTTTTCCCCAAATTTTCCTCTGCCGGTTCACGTTCCGTACTTTAATCGGTTCGCGATAAATAACACGACCATCACGACCATCCATTAGTGGCATGTCTAAAATTGATAAATACTACTGTATAATCATGCAACGTAATAGTTCACTGCCATTTTATTACCTGTAATAAATAATTTCTATATTGCTATGATTTTAAACCGTTCAAGTTGCTTGTACTTATTCCCTGAACTATAGATTCGTTATATTTTACCTGAAGATATATACAACAAATACGAATCTTTAGTATTAAAACGAGGCTTGGATATTGTTATATCCCGACGAGAATGATGAATGGTCATTTTTGGGATCCTTTTATGGACCAATACTAAACGTATCTTTCTATTGTAGAATTATTAAGTAACTAAACTATTCCTATCCATTTTCCTCTTATCATAAACTTCATTTTGACCCATAAACTAGTATTATACGATTTCCCATCCTTGAATTATGCCCTGTCTATTAGTCAATGCCTCCCCCATTCAGAGCCACATCTGGTTGATTCTTGTACAAATGTTGTTTCATATTTTATTGGTACGTTGTGGTCTGTTTGATTGGTATATAAACAAAGTATGTTTGAAATATAATGATTCTTATCGCAGAGGCTCGGATTGGTGTTCTGGGCTTAACTGGCTTGACTAGACGGAAGGCAGGACCAACCAGAACTCTAGGCTGCTCGTACATGTTTTACACATCCTTGTTCTGATCGATAAGTCACTGCCTTCTAATCGGCGGTCACAAGTTATAACAGATATTATGCCGGACATAGTTTATTGTCCTATACCACAATGTGAATTCCCAGTGATTTTTGACTCTGAAAATCTTGGCCGCTGTCCTAAATGTGAATTGGGCTTTTGTCCAATGTGTTTAAAAACATAACATGGTATAAATCCGTGCAAAATTAAATTACAAACATTTGGCAAATATGTACATATTGGTTCTACCTTTTTTACATTGATCATCAATGTTAGAGTTTTTTCCCTTCGTCAAGACGCTTCAACACTTATGTTGTTATCTAGCAGGTAATGAGCCAATATATGTTTAGCTTTTCCAATAGTTAGGAATTATTTCATTCAGTTTCCAATGTATGTTTGTTATTGCTTGAAGAAGTTTATCATCGGAGTTACAACTCATTGTATACCGAGAGTCTCTTTGTCATTGGATAATCGCATCGGATAAGATAGACAATAATAATACAATGATGATGGTGATGAAGAATAGAAGGATGAGAATAATTTACGGGTCAGAATTAAAGAAGATGATTGTTCGCTTGACATTTCTCTTCATATCTGTTAAGCGGATAGTTATCTTTCACAATGCCGACCCTTAAATAATTAGTATAAAACACATCATATCTGTATCTGAATGTCCATAGAAATAGGTGTACATCCATGTCATGCACTTTTGTTTGATGAGTTAAATATCTTGTCAACGATGCCGTACTCACATAATTTAAAAATTACACCTTAAATAATCCTATGGATTGAAATTTAAGTTATTCCGTTCCACCGGGAAAACCGATCCAAGATTCTTTAGGTTTGAAATTGATTAAATATAACTCAAACTACTTATTATTAAAAATGAGTACAATATCGTTTAATACAAATAGTAAGCGACATAAGAACTTGTAACTTCAAACGAAACATTATTTTCATTAATTTTTCTTTTCTTTCTAATATCTTATGGGAATCTTTTAGCCAAGCTTTAGATTGTTATCCTTTTTATTGAATCATAAGTTATTCCTTTTGTCAACGATTTATCACAATTAGATCTCCCTTTGACTTGTTCCAAATTTGGTTTATCTTAACTTGACAAATTGATGGTTTCAGATTAAAGAACCACAGCATCCAAAATCCAGGGGTAATACTGATAAAAAGTCATTCAATGGGAAATCAGAATTTTACGGTATTAATTGATGAGATGAAAATTCTTCCCTTCTTTTCATAGTCTAATTTATGTTGGTAAGTAATCAAAATAATTTTACTGAAAAACTTGTCATGCAATTAAATCAATCAACACAAAACATCTAATCATTTCCTCGTTGTATTTTTAGATATGCTAAAAATGTATGTCATTGTTAGATCTATCGAAGCGTCCACATCACTCGATTGAGATACGCGCAGGACCGAAGTTTCTAAAACAACGATGTGTCGATAATAGTGGTTCTTTATTGAATAATACACAAAATTTAGTTACAAACCTCAACTTGTGAGATGTCTGGGGCGTTTAAACGCGTCCTCCACGTATGAAAATAAAAAAGCTTCCTGTAACAGTAACATAAAGAACAATTATAACATACAATAGTACAAAAGACATCTGATAGCTGTGTCTAAATTTGATAACAGTTTATGAACAACCGAAACCCGAACCAAGAGTAAAACAATATGGAAACTGTTGCGTTTGAACAAATGCACAAAACTGTGGATAACCGCTACAGTGATTAAGATACAATAATTATAATGATAAATACAATGACAAGTACAATAAACGTTATAAGTATACGTGAATATTTCAGAATATTACACCACAACTTGCGTTACAACATAAGTTTAAAACTTATTGGGAATACAACTGCTTATTGAATAGAAATAAGTAGTATAAAACAATATACAAAAGAGTAGTAAGGAAGTGAGTAGGAACAGTATAAGACAAACTTAACAGTCATGTATAGCATCTTTGCTAAATAATAATTCATAATTACAGGTCAAGTGTTATCTTTTGATATTCTTTCAACTCATTAGAATATGAAAGTACTGGAGATTGTAATCGTATTGTTGTTATTTTGTCTGTTACCAACGCAAACACATCTCCCTTTACTGTATTCATCCGTTTCGTAGTATCAATTATCTACTCGAATATGTCATCAAATTATAAGTTCAGATGATCTTAGTAATAGTTATTGACTGAATTCATGATATATTTTGTTATCACATGTTGGTGTTCTGAATACAACTTAAATATAACTACATTATTACCTTAGAACATTAAAGTATTATTTACTGGACAAGTGTCAAACGGGAATTTTATGTTACCCATTTTTGAGAAATAGAATTCTTGACAGTATTAAATGATTCATAAACGAAGTCTCTATGATGAAAAATGTCAGACACTCTTGTGTATCGATATTCGAACTATTTATTTATTTAAACACATGAACATTGGTACAAGGAGGCAGCAAATAGATATGCGCCACATAAATCATTCGATTTATGTAAAGGCTGGGATACTGCCAGGTGCCAAGACCAAAGCAGGTGATTTTATTTGGAAGCCACACCTCGAGCTTTTGACCTGAAGGTCTGATCCACAATGCAGTGGAGCGACGTAAAGAGACGTAGTTCCATGTTAACCGGTGGTCAACGATTGGTTCATATGCCAATTGTTCCATCAGGATACTGAAGTCCATATGCACCAATAGTTTAAAATCAGGATTTTCCAAATCTCTCTGTATCCACTAACCTGGGTGAAGCGCTGGACATTCGCTTTCTGTCCTCTCAATTCCGTAAACAACACCCGTGGTGCCGAGTAGGCAGTAAGTAGGACTTTGTCTGTGTGCCCCTATAGCCACATCTACGATTAGTAGGGTCAAACATGGTGTTGAGGAGTATATTTTTGTATGGTTGAGCCTTTGTGAGAGTTTTGGTATTAGTCTTGGAACTGGATACTTCTGTTTATACGTTCTTCTGATATGGTTTAGAATTTTTAATCTTAACGGTGTTTTGAAGAGTTTTCACTTCAGAACTAGGCATTTAGACATGCGCTTTTAAAGTTACATCGGGAGATATCTGATCTTAAGGTACAAGATGTATGTCTACTTTAGATATACATTGGTTATCTGAGGTCGCTACAGGCTTAAGTGGCAAGTTAACATTGTTCATTGACAAACTGGAGTATTGGCTGAAAGGCTATATGATAGTCGCGTGAATGAGTCCTGTTGATGAGGTAACGGGATTCGTCGTAATTTCTACATCATTATTTTCGTTTAAGGTACTCTTTTGCTTAAGCCTTTGAGTTTTGGTTTCATCTGTGACTATACGGGTATTTCTGAGCTTTGTAATTGTCCAGATCAACCGTACCGACTTCTTCAGGTGTTCAGGCAATGTGGATCGAATCTAAACAAGGTAAAGCGCTTGAACTTCTGGTGCTTTTTATTAAGACGATTACATTGGCATGAACTATCTTGGAGGTTAGCTGCCTTCAATATCGAATTCCTCATGGGCTTAAGCGCGATTTTGTCAAGTATGCTATAAATAATCACGTTACTTCGAGAGTTAAAATCGACAATATATGCTGCTTTAATAATTTCTCTAAGTTCCTCAGGAACCACGTCCTTCGACAATAGTAGCTTAACGGGTATAAGGCCTTTAGCTCTTGCTTACGATCATCATGCATTGATGAAGAGCCCGCAAGTGACTCCACTTTAGAACGTACATCGCTTGATTGCCTATACGTACTATCTAACTCACTCTTTAGGTTATCGATGCCAATGGATCCTTATGTGAAACTCGTTATTAAATTAAATACCAAGCCATCCAGCGGCATGCATGGCGTAGATTTGATCCTGACATTATCCGTTGCTAAAGGAGTTACTGGGCATGGGATATAGGTAAAGTATTTTAGGTAGATGTCATATGCACAAAATTGTTCCACCACTTTTCCACCCACTAAGTACTTTATTTAACCAAGATGAGTAGTGACTTGAAAAAGATATCAAGATGAATTACGTGAAAGGAAACTGGTATCCCACACCTACGAATATGTTTAGTGATATAAAGTCATGTCTAGTCTTTGGTGCTCAATGTTTTTGTATATGTTGTCATTTTACATATGCTCTTGCTCAATTACATTGCATGTTATAGTGTGTGTGAGAGAGAGAGAGATAAAAGTGGGACGAATACGTCAATAGTTTGGCCTCTTTAGAATCATCTACCGGTCATCATTTTATTGACTAAAGTATGTTCGTGATTAAACTTCAAAACCATCTTCGCTCATGTACTACTACGTGTATTGTTTTCTTTGTTAGCCTTGTGTCCTCATGACATCATTGTTGTGTTCTTATGGCCTGTTATTAACACGTGATAGGATCGCCAGTTAGAACACCGACTTATTGACCAGAACAATAACCTATAAACTAGTACGAGTAGCCTAGAGTCAACTTCGAGTTTCTATTGGTCCTCTGAGATAGTAGCTACTCATCTAACCTAGCTGATTCAATTCAGAACATCATTATCAGTTTCGTCTATATGAATCATGTATTTTAGACATACGCGGTTTATATACAAACAAATCAGATCGCATTACACCATCAAATAGAAACTAACAATTACAAAAGAAAATTTCAATAGTTGAGATCATGAGTCAATTAAAGCTCAACCATCATGGAAAACCTGGAAGCACTGAATAGTTATTTCGTCTCATTATGAAACTCCTCAACAGTGCGCATCCATGATCTCGCCTCGTGAGATTCGAACCCAAAACTTATCAGTCTTGCACACGAACGCTTAAACCTCTAGATCACTGAGTTGTCATCCAATTTTTTTAATGTATAACTTTAATTAATCCAAGATCAGACCAAAGGTGGCTGTGAGTATGGGATACTGTAACTAATAAATTAAGAATAACTTAAGAATATTATCAGAAGGGGTTTTGTAGAGATTTTAGAAATTCCACTGATTGAAATCATGAGTCAATTAAAGCTATGATGGTCTAGCTTCAATTGACTCATGATGTCAATCATTGAAATTTCTAAAATCTCCACAAACCCCTTCTGATAATAATCATCTGCTCACTAGTGACTGACTTCAAGAGATACTCCTGAAGTTCTAGTGAAAAGCTGTTATCAGTGGAGTTCAACCAGGTCTGTTGTGAGATATCAGCTCACTGAAGACAATGGTGTACGGTGGGGCAACTTCGTGGATTGGTTGAAGTTAAGCATTAACACCGTTGGATGCCGGCTCAGTGGTCTAGTTGGTTAAGCGCCTGGCGCGAGACCGATAGATCCTGGTTCGAATCTCACGGGGTGCGGGATCGTGGATGCGCACCGCTGAGGTGTCCCATACTAGGAGGAAACGGCCGTCCAGTGCTTACAGGTTTTCCATGATGGTCTAGCTGCAATTGACTCATGATTTCAATCAGTGAAACTTAAGAATAGTATATCGTATAATAGTAGGAAATAGGTCAAATGTAAGCTTATAATAAGAAAAGGAATATATGAATATACATACAATACAGTTACTTTGTAGTTATAGACTAAGAGTATATATAATAACAATCCATAAATAGATCTTAGCAGTTACTATTCACTTATTCTATGTCCGGATATAACAATCATAATATGTGATACCTAATGTCAATAAGGTTTATACACATTGAACCTATCATTGGTATACATACATATATGACTCATTAGTAGTATTTTTTATTGCAATATTAGTAGTATGCACATCGTACATGTAAATTGTGTTCTGTTTATGTTTTAATCGTCATTGAAACAATCGTTAACATTCCTTAATATAAACAAATTGACTTACTTAAGTTTCAAAGTTCAAGAATTGAATTGAGAATAATACTGATTATGTTGTTATGACTGTTATGATTATTATGATTATTGAATGTGTTTATTGTGTAAGTTATTGAGTTGATTGTATAGTCTATCATTTTATCAAATTATATAAGTTTATATTTCAATCTCTCTACAATAACCATTTTGTTTATGCATAGAATACTGTTTTAAATCTGTGAATGCCCCCTTCTAAATGCCTTAGTATGGCTGAGAGTGAGGAAAATCAGCTCTCCCTCTAGAAATTCTCTTTCATATGGTTACTTGTATACAACCAATGGCAGGGAAGTTGTACATATTGCTTTCTTGCAACACGGGTGTTGTTTACGAAATTGAGATGATAAAAAGTGAATATCCGGCGTTTTAAACGGGTTGGTCGATATGGAAGATACACATAGGAGAGTTGGAGAACCCTGATTTCAAACTAATAATGCACATGGGCTGGCTCCAGGATCCTGAAGGACCTATTGTTGGTCACCAGTTACAATGGGACTGCATCTTGTGACATTTCTCCATTGCCTTGTAGATCAGATCTTTTGGTTGAAAGCCCCGGTTGTGGTTCTGTAAGAAAATCACCTAATTCGATTTGGGCACCCGGGCAGTATCACAGCCCTCACATAAATCGTATGATTTATGTGGCGCATATCCATTTGCTGCCTCCTTTTACCAATGTTAATATGTTTAAATAAATAAATAGGATATACGTGTTAACCATAAAGATACTGAATCTATAAAGCTGAAATATTGTTTAGTGAATATGTATTATATTATTGATAGTCAATCTATTCTTCTATTGATTTTATTGTATTCTATATTACATTTTGTTTATTTATTTATTTTAACACATAGATATTGGTACAAGGGGGCACCAGTTACATATGCGCCACACAAACTTCATTTGATTTGTGTAAGGGCTGTAATACTGCCCGGGTGCCCAAACCGAATTAGGTGGTTTTCTTAGGGGGCCACACCTGGACCTTCGACCTGAAGGTCTGATCCACAAGGTAGTGGAGCAACGTCGGGAGATGCATTCCCATGGTTGCTGGTAACCAACGATTGGTTCTTACGCCATTTGTTCCATAAGGATACTGGAGCCCATGTGCACCATTGGTTTGGAATCATACTATTCTGCATCAATATTTGTTCTTGCTTTATTTAAATTCATAAAGGGAACTAATTGCATGCAATACTGTTTTGTTTGTTCTTTTCTACTCATATAAATCATATTTCTTCTCTTTTTTTGTATTTTCTCTTGTATCCAACCATTTATTCTTCTCATTTTAATCAACAAAAAAGATGATCGAAGGAAAAATAAAAGATTCACTACATTGATTTGTTTGTTCATTATTACCGTTTTGCATAGAATTTAGATTGATCATTTTGTTTTTTCATCATGCTCAGTACTGTATTAAGTTTTTGATAGAGTTTTGTGTCTATGAGCTAGATGGTTGAAGTTTATGTTGACGATATTGTTAAGAAGAAGAAGAAGAAGAAGAAGAAGAAGACGATGAAGAAGAAGGAGGAGGAGGAGAAGAAGAAGAAAAAGAAGAAGACGATGAAGAAGAAGGAGGAGGAGGAGAAGAAGAAGAAAAAGAAGAAGACGATGAAGAAGAAGAAGAAGAAGAAGATGATGATGATGATGATGATGATGATGATGATGATGATGATGATGATGATGATGATGATGATGATGATGATGATGATGATGATGATGATGATGATGATGATGATGATGATGATGATGATGATGATGATGATGATGATGATGATGATGATGATGATGATGATGATGATGATGATGATGATGAAGATGATGATGATGATGATGATGATGATGATGATGATGATGATGATGATGATGATGATGATGATGATGATGATGATGATGATGATGATGATGATGATGATGATGATGATGATGATGATGATGATGATGATGATGATGATGATGATGATGAAGAAAAAGAAGAAGAGGAAAGAGAAGAAGACGATGAAGAAAAAGGAGGAGGAGGACGAGTAAGAGAAGGAGGAGAAGAAGAAGAAAAAGAAGAAGAAGAAGACGATGAAGAAGAAGAAGAAGGATAAGGATGAAATCTCCACGACTAAATTATTCAGCTCAACAAACAAAACTTTATCATAATCATTCACCTGAGTTACAAATCTTCTCTCTTGTACTCAGTATTGGAATTAATATTGATCAGGATACTTTATGTAGTAGTGTACTTAAAAAACGACTACTTGTTTTCATCAGATCAGATAACTAATAGAATTAGACTAGATGTTTGTATTCTAGGAATAATTGTTGAAGATATTTATTACAGTATTGTAAATTTATTACATAAAAACTATTCATTTGATACTTTTTTACATTGCCGATAAAAGTAGAAGATATTCGTAAGTTACTAGTATTTGATCATAGGTGTTTTCGAAGCATTGCTTGTATATCCTGGAATCACCGAGCGAGTAATGCAGTTGTTAGAAAATGGGTACTAGGTAAGGATGGTAAATCAGTTAATGAAGTAGTGAAACTTCACCAGTTGAGATGGCTGGGACATGTGTTACTTATGTCCAACCACAGGTGTCAGATGAGTTATATATTCCCCTATCCTTGTAATAATTATTAATGATTGTTCATTGTTGTTGGAATGTGTCGGGTTTTTGGTGTGCAAATATATTTACGTTCTAGTCAGGTTAATCACGTATTCTTGATCTGAGTTGTGTTGAAGTCCTGTAGAATAGACACTGGGAGGGGAATCTAGTGTAGATATTCTTCTAAGGTAAATTAACGTCCCATTCATGTAAACATTGTAAACCCAACCATTATAACAGTGACTCAGTTTAAACCACTACTTCACAAGGTAAATAACCAAATCAAAATTAATCCAAGTTTTATTTGAAATTATCAAATCAAACCTTAGTAATGATACCTACAATTTCAAGTTGTTTTTTTTTCTATGGGTCATTGATGGCAGCAACGCATCACATCGTAACCGTAAAACCTGTCAGTTTCAATAGTGTAATAAGAAGAAGACGAAGATTATCAGAAGTATGGGATAATGGACTAAGACAATACATTTCGAACAATCTGATCACACATAATTGTTAAGAACTAGACTACACTAGAAATGGAGGGTAAAAGGGGACAAGGATAGTAAAGAAAATAATAAAGAAAACAGTTTGAAACCTCATCACTCTGAATTAATATTTCCATGGTAGATTCAAAATGAGAACAAACTGTTTTTGACTGCACAAAGGAAGTTTGAATTTTCGTATGACTAAGGCTTTAATAAACTTTAGTCTATGCCATTTTGTACAACACCACAAAAATTAAAAATACACGAAGTTCAGTGAAGGGATCTTCTCAATGAATTACTTACTAAGCTGTACAATCGTTTATAGATCTGAACAGTTTTTCTGTTAAAATACGAGTTCCATGATGAAATGTGAACAAGGAATAACCAAGATGATGTAATAGAAAGAATAAACTACTAGATTAAGTAATATGAGTAATGACAATAGACTTAGTAAATTAATAACGAATTATAACGTGAATATAGTAAGATGATTAAAATGTTATTGTTACAATCATTGTAGGTAATTAAAGGTAATAGAGATGCGAAATAACTGAAGTGATATCATGAGTAATTATGAATAAATGAATGAAGAAATATGCTGTAATAATAATACTAAATTAAGGTCAAGGTAACAATAACCGCATGGTTCTGGCTTGAGCTTATGGATAGTAACAGCTTCGGCTAATTTTAGGAGTTGGATAGATTTGTACGAACGATATATACAACCTTTAAATGAAACTGCAGATCCATAGAATGATTACAGTCGATTAGATGTTCAGTTATACAACTCTTAAATGCTTTCCTCTCACCCTCATAGAACTAAACTGCGACGTGTTCCCGTATTCGATTTGAAAGCAAACGCTGGCTATGGTCAATGTACTTTACTCCACAAAAGTAGATGAACTGACAGATACCCATGAAGGTGACCAGATGGGGAAGCTTATCTTTTATGTAAACAGAAAATAAGTTCCTACTAGTGAACGTTATTCGCAGTTTTGCCGCATAAAATGTCTTTTTAATCGCTGTCGTTAAACGATTGTTGATTACATCAGATGTCTGATCACCCTTAAATTCCAAACTTATATAGAGATTTTTCTTTGGGACGGAACAACTAGATTTCTTGTCACAACTACTTCTTTTCATATTCTTATCTATGAAACGGTCTGGGTAGCCACAAAGGCAGAGTTAAGATCAATTTTATGACAAGTATATGTGTGATCATCATATAGTTCTGATAATCTTTGTCTTCTTATTACACTATCGAAATCTATCAAAGGGACTAATTGCTGTAAAAGAAGACTCTGCACCTGCCAGTCTGTTGTATACCGTTTCAGCTCAACTTCCAAATGTGATTCTGATGATACAGATAATTCGCAGAATACAACATTACCATCAAATGCCCTTGGTAAATCCGAATTCATTCATTCTGTTATCTACATGTAATGCGACTGTAATGATTTAATAATAGAACAAAGTTGAAGTGGGTTAAAAATCGAACAGTAGCATGGACTAAGAAGTACAGGGAGGTATTAGCACTCGTTAAATTAGATTTAGAAGATTCATAAAACCGATCGATACTAAACTATTTACCTAGAACAACACTCATGTTAAGCTGTATTATCAAAATTTACATTGTTGGTAAACCGACGTTTTGTTCCCCGAACTTATTGTAGGATGCCTCCTTACAATGACTTACTGTTCTAAATGATTTTACGGAAGTATTTATAACAACGATGGATAGTGGCTAGCAGTGAAATCCAGGACGCGCGTCTCGTCCTATTTGGGACTCGTCAGCTGAATGTACCTGCATCCCAGAGTTGATGTTCACACCGGGATTCGAACCTAGTACAATTGACTTCAAACGCCATCGCGTCATTCATTTAGTAACTGAATCCTGACTTCAGGAAATATCGAAGCCATTCGCACAGAATGTACAAATGCCAACATGAGACTGATCAATTACTGTCCTAAATAACAATGGAAAGATACAAGTAAAACAAAACCAAGTGAATTTATTTATCTTTTTAAAAAAACGTGTTTATCTAGTTACCAATTCATTCTTCTTGTACTACATCTCTATATGCAAACTTTCTCTTATATATTACCACCTTTGACCTAACCACTCCTATGAATCCGGTGTTCATCATGTTGTGCTGATGCGGTATGGCAACCTGGATCGATGCACATATGTGCCTGGTCCTACGTTGTAGCTGACTGACTGACTGACCGATTCATTTCCTAATGGTTTCGATATTTACATTTAACTTTGAATATCGATTCACTGATCCTCGGTAGCATCAACCTTTAAGCTTCATGTGGATTGAATCAAATAACACAATAAACATATGCTATTAAACCTGGAGTACAGTGTAAGACACCAAAAAACAAAGTTAAATGCTAAACAATTTATTCATAAATTACATTGTATTTAATAAATCAGTTGCATATTGATCCATATGATGATGATAATGATGATGATGATGATGATGATGATGATGATGATGAACAATGAAAACTCTATGACTAGACTATCCAATTCAAAGAATAACATCTCATTCTATTGATTTATAACAAAATAATCAAGATAAATGATTTGGCATAGAGACTTTAGAAAAATGAATATTCCTAATTATGTGATTAAATGTGATAAGAGATTGTGATTTATGGAGAAGATTTGTACAATGCTAACATGATTATAAAGATATCTACCTAGTTACTAAGATTAGGAATTCAATGTCATATTTCCATGATGAATTAGTTAAATGAAGGAATGAATTTTGCATGATAATTCCAAGATTTACAATCAATTAAATCTATTCTATTCATCGATCAATTATCATCTTATCAAGTTCGTTTATTACGGAATGGTGTCGTTAACTCCATGCCCAACCCTCCTCTTTTTTTACCCGAGTCTAGAACTGGCAATAACTTTAGAAGAACTACCAACCGAGAATGCTGGTGAGAGGTCTATGTTCCTTCACGAAGAGTAACAACCGTAAGTAAGTAAGTAAATTTTCTCCTAGAAATACAAATTACAATTCTGAATAAAAAAAGGAAACAGAGAACAAAGAAAAAAATTTGAAAAAAAATTGAAAAAACAAAAACAAAAAAAGTTTTTTGGCGGTAAAATCCATTTCACCAAATCGTTTTTGCTTTCATCTTATTACATTGTAATGAATTATCATAACCTAGAAAATAGGATACAGGTTGTAATGTATAATTCGACATATAATGATAAATAGAAGAAGAAGAAGGTGAAGAGGGTGAAGAAGAAGAAGAAGAGGAAGAAGAAGGTGAAGAAGGATTTTGTATTGTAGTCAATGATGAATGTTGAGTAGTATTATTCATCGAATACCATTGTACAATAAATGTATTCACACCTTGATTCATTGCTAAACAAATACTATCAGGTAAATGATTAATATGTATATTTGTAATAAAATCAATATAACCTTGTATAGCATTACCTTTATGAATATACAATTTGGATCTAGGCATATTTATTGTATTATCTTGATCATCAAATTGAACTAAATGAATTTTTATATCATTGATTAATCCAATTTTAGTTCTTAAATTATTACGTCCTGTTAAATACCATAAATTAGTTTCTATAGCATTTAATATATTCATTGTTAATATAGTTAAATGATCAATTTGTATTAACCATCCAGAAGACGTGGTTGTTTGAATTCTTTGATCTATTGGTAATTGAATCATTTTTAATAAAGATTTAAATTGATTTGTTGTTGATAAGAATAATTTCATTAAATTAGATAATCCACCAGAAAATAATTCATTTGGTAATAATGATATACCTAAATAATTTAAATCATAATTCACCCATGTCTCTCCTGTTGTTGTTGTTGTTGTTGTCGTCGAGGTCGACGTCGACGTCGTCGTCGTCGATGATAAAGATGAAGATGGTGGTGGTGGTGGTGATTGTTGTTTACGAGATGATAAATTAATTAAATTATTTAATTCATTTGCTTGTATATTAAAATTAAATAATAATAATTCATCATCTTTACTGATTAAATTCATCATAAAATTTGATAATTGTAATCCATTATATGAATCATATACAAGATATGAATAATAATCAATCAATAATTGATTATTAATATGAATCAATTCATTATGTAATAATATTGATTTACCAATTAATTTTAATTGTTGATTCTGATGATCACCAATTAAACCATACCAACTACCAGCTAAATATAATTGACATTTCGATAATAAACCATTTAAACAATCACATTCATGATTATTCAATATTTGTAATTGACACCAATCAATAATTAATTGACGACATAATTTAATTAATGTCCATCTTTGTTGTTTAGATAATTGACGTAATAAATAAGTAATCTCTATGGAAGATAAATGAAACGGAGATGATGATGATGATGATGATAATAATAATTTAAATATTTCATAATTAATTAATATTTCATTATTAAAATGAATTGGTATAGTTAAAAAGATTTCAATCAATTTTGTTGTAATTTCCATCAATTGTATTTTGTTACTATGGTGATTAGAATCTTTTGAAAAATGTATTTCACCAATTGCTTGAATAATTAATGTATGTATAATCAATGGTAATTGATCATTAAATAATAATTCTAATAAAGAATTCGTTAAATAAGGAGAATGTAATTGTTTACTTAATGATATCCCTATTGTTAATAATAAATGATGATGATGATGATGATTAGATAGATTTAATAAATGTTCAATATGTTTGATAATTTGTTTAAAATAATCAAATTGTTCATAATTTTCAATGCGGGAATTTAAATTCACCAAGGTCATTAAACACACATAATTTTGATCGATATTGATTGATTTTTCACAAAATTGATATAATTGATTGATTTGTTCAATATTTAATTGATTTATATGGGATAAAGATGGCCATAATTTTTGATATAATAATTCTTTTGTTTTAATCATTTCAATGGAATTCTTATTATATTGATTATGATGATGATGATTTAAATCAATAAATTGTGTTAATGCATTTAATCGATTGAATACAATAGTTAAACATACATTGGTACCACAATTAATCAATATATCGATTAATTGATCTTTCCATGTATTCAATTGACGATAAATTAAATGTGTATCTATGGCTGGTGGTGATAACATAGTCACACTATTTAACATTGTAATCGATTGATTTGTATTTGGTAGACAACGTAATTGATCAATTAAATGTAATACAGCTTCAGAGGATTGAATTGTCCCAATTAGATCAGTTTGTAAAGAATCACGATAAGATTCAATGGATTGACGTAAATGGATTAATTCTTCATGATAATTATTATTATTATCATTATCATCATTGTTGTCATTGGAATGATTGAATAAGTTGACATTTAAACTACATTTAGTTGATTTTGTAATTGGATAAATAAGACCTAAATGAATCATTTGATAATTTGAATCAAATAATAATTCAATGATCTTAAATGAGAAAAAAGAGAAAAGAAAAGAAAAGAAATTAGTATTTTCATTATACATTATCAAATTAATAATGTTACGCAAAATACTCAACATCCATTGGCCGGATACCATCAGAAATAGCCTTCTGTGGGAGAGAACAAACCAACTTCTAGCTGAAGAAGATATTAGGAAAAGACGATAGAAATGGATAGGAGATACATTACGCAAATCGTCAAACTGCATCACGAGGCAAGTCCTAACTTGGAATCCTGAAGGGAAGCAAAAAAGAGGAAGGCCAAAGAACACATTGCGTCGGATAATAGAAGCAGATATGAAAACGATGAATTACAACTGGACGGAGCTAGAAAGGATTGCCCAGGACAGGGTTGAATGGAAAATGCTGGTGTGCGGCCTATGCTCCTTCACGAGGAGTAACAGGCGTAAGTAAGTAAGTAAGCAAATTAATAATGTTGTATAGAGGTTTTCATGTTGATTTAGCTTGAAAATGAATACTACCCCCCTCATCACCACCACCACCACAACAACAACAACAATAAATGCCCTGGTACAGCTAAGGATGGGGAGAGTTAGCTCTCACATGATCACGTGTATACACCCATTATTCACGAAAGTCCTACTTGTTATAAATTGTGCCCTGTGTCCTATTCATGTCGATTTAGCTTGAAAATGAATACTACCTCCCCCACCACCACCACCACAGCAACAACAAATGGCCTGGTACAGCTAAGGGTGGGGAGAGTTAGCTCTTACATGATCACGTGTATACAGCCATTGTCACGGAAGACCTACTTGTTATAAATTATGCCCTAATGTCCTATTATTATATGACGTAATGATATCGCCAATGAGAGAAAATTGATTTATCGATAGGACTTATAATGTATAAAATTCGTACGAGCAGTCTAGAGTCTTTTTATCGTTCCTGCTTCCAGACTAGCTCTGCCTGTTGAGTTCATAACGTCAATCTCAGCCTCTGTAATATAAATTCTTTATTTTTAACATACAGGATTTATATACCAATCAAACAGATCAAATCGTACCATGAAATACGAAACAACATTTGTACAAGATCAAGCTAAAAGTGGCTGTGGATGTGGGAGATAGTAATTGATAGACCGGACATAACTTTGGAATGGTAAATCTTATAATAATAGTTTGTAGGTTAAAATAAAGGTTATATTAAGAGGAACACTAATATAAGAAGGTCAATTACTTAACAATTATACAATAAAAATATACGTTTAGTATTGGTCCATAAATGGATCCCAAAAGTTACTGTTCATCATTCTCATCGGGCTATAACACTACTCACTTCCATCTCATACCATGGGTGTTTTCTACTAAATTGACAGGATAAATAACGAATGTCTAACGCTTTAACCAGGTGGCTGAACATAGAGTATCCATAAAGGGGAGTTGGAAAACCCTAATTCAAAACCAATGGTAAAAATAGACTACAGGATTCTGAAGGAACAAATGGCGAATGGACCAATTGTTGGTCACCGGCTACCATGTGACTGTAACTCCTGATATTGCTCCACTGCCTTGTGGATTAGACCTTTAGGTCAAAGGCTTCCTAAGAAAACCACCTTGTTCGGTCTCGGCAGCGGGCAGTATCCCAGCCCTCATAAAAATCAAATGATTTGTGTGACGAATATCTTTTCGGTGCCCGTTTGTACTAACATTTCTGTATTCAAATAATTGATAATAAACTAAAAATGAATCGTGGATACGCACTGCTGAGGAGTCCCACAATAGGACGAAACGGTCGTCCAGTGCTTCCACGTTTTCAATCGTGGTCTAGCTTCAATTGGCTCATGATTTCAACTATTAAAATGAGTTTCTAAAAAATGATCGAAATTATTAGATTTGACACAATGAACATTGAAATATTTGAGGATAACCTCAGTCGTCTTAAGAATAATCATTGATAATATTGTACAATGTGACAATGACAGCTTAGCAACTAAATTATTTAAATTAAGAAAGCATCATAAGATACTAAATTATCGTTACTATGAAATAATCTATGAATAAACATCAACAAGATCGTGAATTCTGAATTAATGAGGTATGTTTAAAAAAACTTTATCAAACTGTTTACTCTGAAATATAATGCACGACTTTGCAGTTTAATTCATCATAGGAATTCTGTATGATATTGACTATCTTCTGAGGCACGCCGTAGTGTCGAAGAAGCATCCATAGTGTTGTTCTGTCCACGCTGTCAAATGCTTTCTCGTAGTCAATGAAGTTGATGTAGATTGATGAATTTCATTCAATTGATTGTTCCACAATGATCCGTAGAGTTGCGATTTGGTCTATTCACGATCGATCCTTCCGCAATCCAGTCTGTTAATCTCAAAGTTGGGTGTCTACAGAGTCCTTCATTCTGTTTAACAATACCCTGTTGAAGTCTTATCCTAGTACTGAGAGAAGAGTGATGTTCCTGTAGTTATCACAGTTGATGAGATCGCCTTTCTTTGGTATCTCGATAAGGTGTCCTTCCTTCTTGTCTGTTTGTACTTGTTCTTCATCCCAAATCTAGCTGAAGAGAATGTGGAGTATCTTTGCAGTTACCGCTACATCTGCTTTCAGTGCCTCTGTTGGAATTTTGTCTGGTCCCTCCGGGAGCCCCCTGAGGATACTGCTGGCCCCAAGCCCGGATAAAGAAGGAGGGTTGGGCATGGGGTTAGCGACCCCACCCCACAGAACTCGCTAAAAAGACGCTAACCAGGAAAAAAGCTGTATCGATTATTTAAGTATATTAAAATCTCAGTTGTTGTTTATCATTTTTTCGTGGAGATATTGACCTTTTGTAATAAAAAAAAACCGATTATAAACTTTTGTTTTTATTGTGCACCCTTCCTTAGATGCCAAAATAATTGGTTTTCAGTCACCGTGGGAGGTAGGTTCAGATTCATACCTCCCGAGGTTTTGCTTAGAAGTTGTGATCAGTGGAGTTCAATGTTGTTGAGTGTGAGTCAGTTACCCATTGATGTTATTATTAGATGGTTGTACGACATCGTAAATTAACTGAAGTTACAAATATATGTAACTAAGTGTCGAATCACTAATCAGAAGAGCTCTCCCCAAGTCCAAAATTTCTTGAGTATGATCCCCTGGGGGGGGGGTCGTTGATGCACAATGCTCAGGTGTACTAGTACCAGTTCAAAGTCACTATCCTGTGCTTCCTGGCTTTCAATAGTTGTCTAACTAAATTCACTTCGTGCTTCATTCTATAAAAGTAATTTTAATTAGTTTGATCCTGGCAGTGGGGTTGTACAAATAGTCTTTAAGCAAACCGTTTGGTTTAATTAAATGAATAAATCGGCACTGGATGATTGAGTTATACAATTTCCCATTGTTAAAATTCCTCAGTTCACTGTTTTTGTTAGTTTTCATTTGTGTACCAACCGGTTCGACTCAAATCTTTCAAAAGGTTAGCATTTTTATTTCAATGTCATTTCAACAAGAATCTGTTATCAATCATACCCAACTCATCTTTGAGTAGACTAAAGTTTACTTGTACGAGTTGTTGATGTTATGTATTGTAACCGGTCAGTATTTAATAGCATATGTACCCTGAGATGACTGCCTCTATGTTATTATTTATTTGCAAGTTTTAGGTAAAGCTAAATTATGATGAGCAACAGAATGTAGGACTTGAGTTTCATGAGATACATGACTCGTCAATTGGATGTAGTTATATCAATTTTGATATTCATTGTTGCACTAAAAGGTGGTATCAATCGTTGAGCTCGTTTGGTTGTTGGATAACGAGTCGACTTTTCAAATAAAAGATACTGGGTTTAGGTTATAAATGCGAACAGTAAAACTGGAATTCTAATACAACTAGCTGGCGATTTCGAAATATAACGAAGCGAGGTCCTAGCCACTATCTAACTTTAATGAATATAAACTTGTTTATATTATTGTTAATGATGTTTTTTGATGTAAACATACATTACAATATGTAAACAAATGTAGGTCATTTCAGGTGAAGACTAGACTATTTAGTTAAAAGCTATATATATTCACATAACTAATAAATGGTAATTTAGTTCATTTAAGTTCATGATGGAAGTTATCTAAACTAAACGTGCACCTTGAATCCCACTGATGGTTACCTATTAAATGATACACTAAAAACCTGTGATAAAAGGCTAAATTGAAGTCATCCTCTGTAAATATAAATATGTCATCAGAGACTGATCAATTACTGTTACTCAATACTTAGTCTGTTTAAGTATCATTACTTTTCCGGTTAGTGTTTTTTTTTAATGAGTTAGTTTTCTACGGGATGAGGTCGCTAACCTCATGCCCAACTCTCTTCCTTTATCTGGGCTTGGAACCAGCAGTAACTCTAGAAGAGATACAGGCGGAGTTTAACTATTATTGCCACTTCATTATTAAGATCTTTTTTTTATTAATCATCATATTAATTTTATTGCATCATGATAGTGCAATATGACAACTTCGATTCATTCACATCTATGTCAAGTTTCACTTGAATGATGATTGATAAAATGGTAGACTCTCATATCAATTCGATACTTAATCATTTGGTAAACAACCTATATATACATTTATGATAACCTATTTTTATCATTAAGGCATTGGTATAATCATATATGCACACAATACTACAAATGTACACCGATGAATTATATTGATTAACATTGATAAAAATAGATAAACAATACATACATCAAGATATTTGTGTTTAACCCCTGTGACTAGTACCTTCCATCAGACCTAGTTAGATAGACAGGTACAAATGTATGTGTATATATACTGCACTACAATCAACAATTGATGATGCCTAGACTTACTTAGTTGCATGAATGATAATGAAAGTAATGATACTAATAATGATCTGGGATGTGGCCCCCTAAGAAAACCACCACCATCTGGGCATCCGGGCAGTATCATAACCCTCACACAAAAGTGTGGCGCATATATATCTGGTGCCCTCTTGTACCAATATTTATGTGTTCAAATAAATAAATAATAAATAATGATCTGTAAAATATAATTTGAAAATTTTACGATAGAAAATATGTATATTTTAGATAGTGTCAAGTATTAAAATAGTTGCCATATGCTTTATCCTATTGGGAACTCGTCAGTTGAGTTTACCTGACTATCCGTTTTTTGATGTTACTTACTTTCTTACGCCTGTTACTCTCAATGGAGCATAGGCCACCGACCAGCATTCTCCAACCCACTCTGTCCTGGGCCTTCCTTTCTAATTCCATCCAATTCTTGTTCATTTTTCTCACGTCTATCTCCATTTCCTGGCGTAATGTGTTCTTTGGTCTTCCTCTTCTCTTCCGTTGGCTTTGAGGATTCTATGTAAGGGCTTGTCTTGTGACGCAGTTGGGTGCTTTCCTCAATGTGTGTCCTATCCACTTCCAGCGCTTCTTCCTAATTTCTTCCTCCTCTGGGATCTGGTTTGTTCGCTCCCACAGTTGGTTGTTGCTAATAGTGTCCGGCCAACGGTACACATTAGACTGTCAATTTATGAGTCACCAGATTATTCAACTGGTATAATATATATTTTATCAGTTGAAGAGTTTGTATCTTCCTATTGTTCATATTCAGCCTATATTTGTATATCGTTTTGTTCAGAAGGTGCTTCAGTCTAGAATATGCCTTAATGTTTATTATCGACTAGATGAAAAACTTTCATGATTAAACGTTTACCTCACATAGAGGTGTCGTTTCACCAGATGAATGCTTCGAATACGTTTAGGATGGAATATCCTTTTTATCATAATTTGATCCTTTTTAAAGTACATAAAACGGTAGAAAAGTTCAATCAACTAGACATCAAGATATTTATGGACTTATGTATAAAATTTGGTCGTTTGGCCATACTTGAATGCAACTAGTCATTGCCTAAACTGGACAATTTTCTGCTTGAAAAGTTTCAGAGAACCAAAATTAATTTGATCCGTGAAATCTCGAAATTTCTACATGATAAGTGATCGCCTAAGCTAAACCTATTCCCTTCATCATACATAAAGACCTGAGGTAACAAAATCACAATCTTTAGATTACTGTGTAATAAATTCGTAATCCAGCCTGGAGCCCCTCTGAGGCCACTGCCGGTCCCAAGCCCAAATAAAGGAGGAGGGTTGGGCATGGGGTTAGTGACCCTATCCCATAGAAAACTAAGTCGCTAAAAAACGCTACTCAGACAACATAATAAGTTCGCATGAGACTTGTCTATATTCATTTTGTCTTCCAGAACAGCAAATTTATGGGGACATACAGGATATGTTCACAAAGTCACAACCAATTGCTTGTTGTCTAACCATCTAGTTTCTCTTTGAATTGTTAATTAATGGAACTTTTTGCCTTAATATAAGGATGCAACTTTTTTCCAGTACAAATTATCAAAAGAAGACGAAATCAACCAAGAGATCCACACTGACAGGATTAAAATAGACTTCCTACTGATATGTTCCTCTCAAAATGAAACTGTAACAAGAACTTTTCGCCTACTATGCGATCTGTTCAGTGATTACATGAACTGATTTGCTCAAGTGTCTTGGTTAAACTGAGGAAAGCCTCTTAGGGTATTTATAAAATGTCGGATTTCTTGCAAAGATAACTCATTTAGAAAAAGTCATTGTTTAAAGTGAACTAAGTGTCTTATAGAAGCCTATGGAGGCTGCAAAAATGACCCGAGTCCGGGACGAAAGTTAGTGTCGTTTGTGTGAAAAAAACATTGAACAAGTAAGGCCTCTTTTCTTTTTTGACAATCGATTCGTTATCCAGATTACTGATGATCAATTGAACCGACGAAAGCCCTGTAGGTGTCTCTTTACTGATCGCACCTTCTATTTATTATTTCCCCTAAAGAGATATGACGAAAAAACTAAAGAACTTGATTTTCGACAACTTCTAATAGTTTCCTGAATAATCAAAACAAAGATGGGACAAAAGTGCCACCAAATGCCCTGGTACGACCGTGGGTGAGTAGAGTCATCTCTTTCTCTCTCTCTCTCTCTAGAAATGCTCTCACACGGCCACGTGCATACAACCACTGTCAAGGAAGTCCTAGTCACTGCCTTCTCGCACCACGAGTGTTTTTTATGAAATTGAGAGGACAAAAAGCGAATCTATGACGCTTTAACCAGGTTGGTGGATATGGACGATCCACCTTTATTTTATTTTATTTATTTAAACACATAAACATTGGTACGAGGAGGCAGCAAATATATATGTGCCACATAAATCATTCGATTTTTGTGAGGGCTGGGATACTGCCCGGGGTGCCCTGGCCGAAGCAGGTGGTTTTCTTAGAAGGCCACACCCCGAGCCTTGAACCTAAAGGTCTGACCCACAAGGTAATGGAGCATCGTGAGGAGATGCAGTCCCATGGTAGCCCGTGATCAACGATTGGTTGATACGCCATTTGTTCCCACAGGATACTGGAGCCCATATGCACCACCGATTTGTTTTGGGATGCGGTTAAAGCGCCGGACATTCGCGTTTCGTCCTCTCATTTTCGTAAACAACACCCCCGCTACGAGAAGGCAGTGAGTAGGACTTTTCTGGCAGAGGCTGTATACGCGTGGCCATGTGAGAGCATTTCGAGAGAGAGGGCGGGCCCACCGCACTCTCGACCATACCAGGGCATTTGGGGCACCTAGGTAAGCTGGAAAACCTGGATTCCAAACTAATGATACACATGATCTCCAGGATCCTGAAAGAACAAATGGTGTATGAACCGATTGTTTGTCACTAGCTATCATGGGATTAGACCCATAGGTCGACAACTCCAGGTGTGAAAACCACCTGGTTCAGTTTGGGCATCCCATCCTACACACAAATCAAATGAATAGTATGGCTCATATCTTTATAATGCCTCCTTGTACCAATGTTTATGTATTCAAACAATAAATAGGACAAAATTCCTGAAGGAACAAATAGAACATGAACCAATTGTTGGTTATCGACTACCATATGACTGCATCTCCTGACGTTACTCCACTGTTTTGTAGGTCATATCTTTCGATCGAACATTCCAAATATGTTTTTGATTGAAATCATGAGTCAATAAAATCTAGACCATAATAGAAAACCTGGAAGCACTGGACGGCCGTTTCGTCCTAGTACGGGACTCCTCCACAGCGCGCATCCACGACCCCGCACCCCACGAGATTCGAACCCAGGACCTAACAGTCTCGCACCAGATGCTTAACCAACTAGACCACTGAGCCGGAATCCAACGATGTTATATCTAACCTCAACCAATCCACGAATATAATTCATAAAATAAATTCTATTCATGATGAACCATTTCACTTACTTCATTCAATGTTAAATCATATTGTTTTTTAATCATTTCTTCTATTCTATTATTATTATGATGATGATGAAGATAATGATGATAGGTATCCATTTCATGTATAAATTCTAATTGTTGCCATGTAATTAAATCAATACCAGTAGAATTAATAAATTGTTTATATTGTCCATTATCATCATCATCATCATAATCACCATAGTTACTATCTAATGTATCATTAATCATGGAATAAATTTGTCTTTCATATCCTTGTATTTTATATATTTGATAAGTGAATTTATCATAGATATAACGTGTCATTAATTGTCTTATTTCTTTTAATTCTATTATCTTTAATAAATTCTCATTCCATATATCAATGGAATGAGTTAATCTTTGACAAAATTTCTTCTCTTTATCAATAATAATGAAATCATGATCATCATTAGTTGTTGTTCGATTTGATGATAGAATTGCATAAGTTACATAACATTTACCAGAACTATCTATTTCATAACCTGGTTCAAATGTATTATGTATATTTAATAAACTTAATAATCCTTTGAATAAATTCAATTGTATATGATACATTACAGATTTAGATTGTGGCATATAGATTCTATCAATCAATCCTTTATGATCAAATAAGATTAAACCATTTAAAGTGATGAATGGATCTATGAATTGATCTTTATGAGTAGTATTAGTAATATTCAATGTGATATACCATAATGTTTTATTATATAGTTCATTCATTGTATCATTCATTTCTTTCATTATTATTGGTGTAATATAAACATAACCTGATATACTTTGTAAAAGCATTTCTTTATGTGAATTCTCTGTGATATTTGTTGTATAATGATATACATATGTCTTATGTGTTTTATATAAATTTAAACAAAATATAATAAGGATAATGGAATAAAATTGTGTAAACGCCATGGATACAAAAGGTAAAAAAGAGGTTTATCAATTTACAAACAAAAGTGCAAACGTGAATATATATATATATATATTGGGCACACGCTATTGGCTACTTTTATCTTGATTCTTATTGGTCAATATATCATAGCCCTAATAATCTGGCCAATCATTTTTAAGAATGAAATAAATCTAATCATGGCCTTGATTCTTTCTCAAGGTCATCGGCGACTAAAGTTGTTCACAGGTTTAACATATTGAATACAAGGCAATCAAAATTAGGGATAACCTTGTTTTACAAACACATTTGATGCAAAAAAAAATACATTCACTACACTACCACGCTATAGTACACTACACTGCAGTACACTACATACAAAATCTGAAAAGTAAATAGATGGATATGTACTTTAAGAGGGATTAGTAACATCTACAATCAATTAAAACAAAATAAAACAAGGGTCAAATAGGAATTAGATTATGTTGTAACAGGAGTTCAGTAAAATGACAAAAAAAATTGACAAGATGTATAGCTAAAAGGTAAAAGTTATGTTTCAATAGTTGAAATCATGAGTCAATTGAAGAGCTATTTATTTTGAGGATTAATTTACCGCTACAGATCACTCCCCCCTCCCTAGTGAGGTAGTGATGACCCTAAGACGTGGCCAGCTAAAAGTTTAAACCCAACGAGTTTGTCGTTGGTAAACACTCTTCTGATAGCTTGCTAGGTTTAGCAGTGACTGATCGTCTTTCCTTACTATAAGGGATCATGAAGTACAATATAGTAAAAAAAAAAATAATGTACAGTGAAAATCTTTGGTTCCTCGTAAACTTCACAGTTCTTGTTATCGTCTTTTCCAGTCATCCTGGAAAAGAAAAATAAAGAATATCTAAGTGCATGTCGAAATAAACTTGTACGCGGTTTAAGACATAAAGTGGGCGAAAAAAAAGGAAAATAAACTCGTACATGTGATAGCGTAGAAGCGATTTTCGCAAAATGATTTTTTTAATTTTTTAATATACGTATTAGCCAAATAATAAAAGTATATAAATATGAGCATATAAAAACTGAATTTTTAAATATTATATATAATGCCATGGAAAACCGAGATGAAACAAAATGTTAACTAATGTCTTACGTGCAATAGTCATTTAAATATTCTAGAAGTCTTACTCTTCTTCCAGAACACGTGGTTTTAAGTTTATTTTCAGATACATTCGGAGTATCATCGCTAGTGTTGGTTGTCGGTTGAGGAATTATGAGTGTAGGAGTCGCGTTGTGCGATTGTACCGAAGGAAAATCGACGTGAATAGGATTTCCTTCTAAATACGCTGCTTTTAAGCGATCGATACTGATGCTATCGTTTGTTCCGTTCTTATTGACTATATAGTACTTAGATTCACGTTGAAGAACTTTGAAGGGTCCTTCGTATGCTGATTCGAATGGTCGTCGATGCGAGTCTCGACGTACGAAAACGTGTGTACTAAGTCGTAAGTCAGGTTGAACGAAAACATCAGTTGATTAAGGTCGAGTGGAAACAGGTTTAACTGAACGTATTGCGTTTGTAAGCCTGTTCGTGGAGGACGTTAAATCCATGTTCATTGAAGAGGATGAAGGATCCACGAATTCTCCTGGAAGTCGAAGTGTCGTTCCATAAACGAGTTGAGCCGCAGTGTATTCAATGTCAGTTTTCACTGCATTGCGAATACCTAGTAAGACGAGTGGAAGAGCGTCGTTCCACTGTGAAACATTTACAGCTGATAGTGAAGCTTTCAGTTGTCGGTGAAAACGTTCTACCAACCCGTTTGCTTGTGGGTGCTAGGCGGTCGTTCGGAATCGACTGATTCCTAAAAGTGTGGTCAGACGACGGAAAAGTTCAGATTCAAACTGACGTTCGCGGTCTGTAGTGATGGTTGAAGGGCAGCCGAAGTTTGCTACCCATCGTTCGACGAAAGCGCGAGCTACTGTTTCAGCAGTGATATCCTTGATAGGTACTGCTTCTGGCTATCGAGTGAAACGGTATATGCAGGTTAAGAGGTAAGAGTATCCTTCTGAATCTGGTAAAGGTCCTACCAAATCCAAATGAACATGGTCGAAACGAGCATCGGGAGTTTTAAATGAGCCTAAGGAACATGTATTGTGTCTGATAACCTTAGATTTTTGGCAGCTTACACAGGAGCGTGCCCACTCCCTCACGTCTTTATTCATGCCAGGCCAGCAAAACCGTTTTGCTATAAGCTTGATGGTTGCACGAACACCTGGATGAGAAAGTTTGTGCAATGTGTTGAAGACATTGAGTTGATAATGTTTCGGCACGATTGGGCCATCCCTACCTGTAGATGTGTCACCAAGAGAGGTTTCCTTACCTGTTCCCATCTGTTTGATGCGTAGTTTGAGGGTTGTAGATGATAACTCGTGCTGAAGATCAGTGTCTTCTTTTTGAAGCTGGGTGAGTTTAAGAAGGTCGATTCCTTGGAAACTGTTCAAGGAAGTTATGCGAGACAAAGCGTCTGCAACTACATTGTTTGCTCCAGAAATGTGTTGAATATCTGAAGTAAACTGCGAAATGTAGTCCAGTTGTCGAGACTCACGACGTGAGTACTTGTCTGAGGAGGAGCTTAACGAGAAAGTAAGAGGTTTATGGGCAGTGAAAAGGGTAAATTCAAGGCCTTTGATATAGTGTTGAAAATGCCGTACAGCACAATACATAGCTAGGGGTTCCTTATCGAATGTACTGTTCCTCGATTCAGTGTCTAGCAACCGTCTAGAGAAAATGCGAAAGGTTGCCAGGAGTGGTCAACGCATTGTTGTAAGACTCCTCCGATTGCCGAGTCGGATGCGTCTACTGCTATACTAATGGGTGCTTCAGTGTCCTGATGAGCAAGCATTGTTGCTTTAGTAATAAGTTCCTTAATTGTGGAGAATGCCTTTCGTGCTGTGTCGTCCAGATTGATGGATTTCGCATTTCCACGAAGTTGATCGGCAAGAGGCTTCATAAGTAATACGCACTTCGGTATGAAACATCTATAGAAACTTCCAAGGCCGTTAAACGTGCGTAATTGCTTGACGATAGTCGGTTCTGAGTAATCCAGAATTGCCGCCACTTTGGTCCTAAGAGGTCGGATGCCTTGCACATCTATGGTGTGTCCTAGAAAGTCTAGTGAGTCAGTTTCAATTTGGCATTTCTGAATGTTTACAGTAATGCCATGTTTTTGTAGTCGGTGGAAAACAAGATCCAGATGCTGGAGATGCGATTCTCTGTCCGGATTTGCTATTAGACAGTCGTCAACATACGCATGCACGAAGTTGAGACCTCGAAAAACGTAGTCTTCGAACCTTTGGAAGGTTTGTGCAGCGTTTCATACACCGAAAGGCATTCGCAAAAATTCTTAGAGTCCGAAGGGAATTGTGATAGGTGTTTTCGGTATGTCGTCAGTAGCCATAGGGATTTGGTTATACGCTTTAACCAAGTCGATTTTCGAAAAGACAGTTGCACCTTTCAAGACAGCTGTCAAATCGTGAATGTAATGCAACGGGTAACAATCGGGAATTGTTTTTGCATTCAATCGCCGATAGTCACCAGTTGGACGCCAATCGCTGCTGTCCTTTTTAGGACCATGTGCAACGGAGATGCCCATGGGCTGTCTGACGGTCTTATGCTACCTAAGTCTATCATGTGGTCAAATTCGTTTTTGGCCAACCTCAGCTTTTCAGGAGCCAGTCGGCGTGCTTTCGAGAATACAGGTCGTCCTGTAGTCGTGATGTGATGTGTAACGTTGCTAGTTACACACGGTAATTTCGGTTGCGGTTGGTATATCCCAGAATACTTATCGAGTAGCGGTTGATAAAATGGGTCTATCGTATGTTTAATTGTGACTGGGGATAATCTGCAACCAGAAAAAGAAGTTACGCAAACGGATAAATTAGTGTTTCCGTCTACTAGCCTCAGTTTGCGAGTATCAATGATTAGATTATGGTGTTGTAGAAGATCCATACCAATGATTAGCATAGAAAAATCTGCAACAACGAAAATCCAGTGAATGGGTTTGCGTAAACCCACGTTAAGGTAAACGCACCTTTTGCCATACGTAGCGATAGGCTTTCTGTTTGCCGCCTGTAGATTTAAAACCGATTCATGAATCCGGCCGTTGGAATTTGTAGGAAGAACGCTAACTTCTGCACCAGTATCGACGAGGTAGCGAACTCTCGTTATCACATCTGTGACGTGTAACAGACGGCCATGTTAGCCGGCCACGGTTGCCGTTAACGCGTGCCGGCTTGGAAGTTCCCCAAATTGTTTTTCGTGTCGGTCGATTTTGAGTTGGGAAAATTTCAAGGTTTTCTGCAATTTCTGGATGACTTTCCATACTGGTTATGATACCAGCACCAGTCGGGATTATCAGTCTCTCGTGGTCTAGAGACAGATCGCCTACGTGAAGTGCTTCTTCGCGGTGTGTGTGAACGTTTACGATCGTTACAAAATTTAGGATAACGTTTAAGTGGATGACATAACTCCGTTATGTCATACGAGACATTCTGGGTCGTTTGAGGCTTTTCTTTGGCTGAAAAACCTCTGCATTAGAGGATTTCGTGATTTCTAAGATGCGGTTGGCAGATGCAGCCAGCTCGTCTAAGGAGTTGTTTTGAAACGAGATCAGCATAACTTGCGCCTGTTGAGGAAGTTTGGATAAGAAGGGTCGTTTGAATAAGCCACCATCGAAAGTTCTTTAGCCGATAACCTCTCTCATTCTCTGCAACATGTCTGTCTCAGAACTGCGTTGCAGGTCGATGTTATTAAGGAGTTGGTCTAACCTTTGTCTATCGGTTAGGTCTCCGCGTTTAAGGATAGACCGTTTCAGTGTTTCTTAGGATTCATAAACATCACTAGTAAACATACTAGGTGTTACATACCTGATGAATTCGCGCGGTATTGCCGTAACTACTGCGAGGAATTGTGCACGTGTGTCGTTCACGCCGTGCTCGTAGAAATCGGCTTCTGCGTAGCAGAACCAGGTTTCGATGTTGTCTGGCCAGAAGAGCATCAGCTGCAACGAAGGTGGGGATGTAGTATTTAGCTTAAGTACCTTGAGTGTCTGTTCAGCAATAGTGAAATATCAAGTACGAGTGAAAAATAAATATATATCCAAAAACACGGAAAAAAAATACCACAATGTATAAAAAATTAAGATAAGGCAATGATATATTAAATCCCCAAAAGAAACGAACTCACAGTTTACAATTTGACGTACCAGATCACGTTAGGATCACCAATGAAGATGCCATAGGTATTCGAAGTTTGACAACGCTTCAACCAGTAACACCTACTATGAAGCGTACCCACCAAGTAAAATCAAAAGACATAAGTGAGGGGTTGGAAGATATATTTGATAGGCTATCAATAAATCAAGGATCGTCTGATTTAATCTGGCTAGCGATTGCAGGGTATGTTGAGCACGGCGTTTCCACTCGTGATCTGGTGCGGATGCATGATCGAGCGCCTTCAGCTAGGTGAGTCCATTAAAACTAATGTGGTCAGCATCCAATGCCGAAAACTTACATAGCTTTTTATTTTTGGGACTTATTTACCGCTACAACCTTAAAGTAAATACTTCATTTACAAAATATCCATCAATTGTCTCAGAATTTGTTGTCCCTCCGTTTCCATACCACTCACTCACTGTTCTCGTTCTCTCCGATTTTCTCAACCTTCTCCCTCCAGACATTCAGCTTTCGATTAATGATACATACTACATATATCTGCCGATATCAGTAGCGCACATCACATTATTACCACTACTTACACTACTACGTCTACTAATACTACCACCAGTACGAATACTATTAATTAAACCAATACTATTAATTTGACTCTTTACTTATCTACTGTCGCTTATATATTACTACTACTAAAGTACTCACGTGGTAGGCTGATTTTCTTTGGTAAATTTGGTCTTTTCGCACTTGTGCAAGTTCGTTACATTATTTAAAAATTACAGATTCTTCTTAGAAATGGAGTCTAGCAAATCGTTCATTTATATTTTACTATCTTACTTAGTTACTCCTGTTACCCCTCGTGGAGGAGAATACGCCGCTCACCATCCCTCTTCATCCAACTCTGTCATGGTCAATTCTTTCCAGTTCCTATTCGTCCTTTTCATATCTACTTCTAATTCTCGACGCAGTGTGTTCTTTGATCTTCCACTTTCCCGTTTCCCCTCAGGGTTCCAAGTTAGCGCTCGCCTTGTGATGCAGTTTGGTGATATCCGTAATGTACGTTTTATCCACTCCCAACGTCTTTTCCTAATTTCCTCCTCAGTTGGAAGTTGGTTTGTTCTCTCCCACAGTAGGCTGTTGCTGATGGTATCCGGCCAACAGATATTCAGTATCTTACGTAGATAATTGTTTATAAATACTTGTAGCTTCTTGATGATAGTTGTAGTAGTTCTCCAAGTTTCAGCTCCGTACACTAAGACTATCTTGATGTGTGTATTGATTGCTATTTCTATTAATGTTGCCATTACTGGAAGCGCTCAATAATATGATGATAGAATTATCGCAGGCATTATTTTATTGTTCGTTATTTCCAGTTTAACAGAAGTCAGAAACTGTACCTTAAGCTTTTGTTCTGTGGAACTGATCATAACGGTACCTGAAGAGATCCATATAGTCTTCAAAGAAGGAGGTAAGTGTAATAACTTTATAAGGATGTTCCACCTAGTGCTTCATCAAAATACAGTTGTCCAGCATTTATATTTTTCAAGGAGATCGATAGATACTGGACTGTAATTCTTTGGAATATGAACGATAACTTTAAATACAACCCTTCGGCTTATTACAATTGTTTATGGATGTGGAATCCAGCGTAATTGAAGTTCGAATCCCTCACGCCATTTATTAATTATCAAAAGCAATTCAGATTTACTTATATTTGATTACCCATTATCCAATTGGTATTACTTTTTGTATTTGTTATTACAAAACTACAACAAAATGTTGATCATATCTCCTTTTAAACAGTCTGCTTAAGACGGTTGAGTATGAATTATGTAGTAGTAATAAAGAAGAGAACATTTAGGAATTGAATCTTGTTTCTTATTATTGCCAATGCAATGGGAATGAATTTTTTATAAGAAAATCGCGATACTAATTCTACATTTTAATGGCTGTTGTACATTCGCATTTATTCCATAATTTATTATTCCTTACTAGAAAAGATCAGTCAATCAGCTACAACGTAGGACAAGGCACATATATACATCGATTCACGTTGCCATACCTCATTAGTACAGTAAGACGAACATGAAATTCATAGAATTAGTTACTCAAATGGTAGTAATATATAAAAGAAGGATTGTGTTTAAGGAAGAAAGAATTAGTTCGTAGAAAGAAAGATAAAGCAACTTTAATCTCATAGTTTAAGGTAAAACAAAGAGTGTATACACCGATGCCATTGTGATCGATTCTGAGCCATGTCACCAAGAGTCTCCAACCATTGGTTACGATAGTCACGCGGACCCCAACCAAGTAGTCTGCATCTACCAACATGGCTCAAACTAGAAGTTAGTGTCTTCAAGCACTGATGCCACGTTTTGGTTTGGCCGCCCCTAACTTTCTTCCAACCATCTCCAACACCGGTTAGCATTGGACGTCGTGGTAATCGGTGTTCGGGCATACGTAACACGTGGCCCAACCATCTCAGTCGATGAAGATTCACAATCTCATCAACTGATTTGCCATCATTACCTAATACCCTGCATCTAACCTCACTATTACTAACCCGGTGATCCCAGGAGATGTGAGTAGTGATTCAAATAAAATTTCACATAAAATTATATTTATATACAACTTAACCGATAGTTTTCATTGTTGTTGCAAAAAAACAACACTGTTACATTGACTGATCAATTCTACGTTGCCATGAGATGAATTTTTAACATCATGTTTAACCTTCAACATAAAATTCAATGAATGGCTTTTTAATGTCATGTTAACGATGTATAATTTGAGTTCGCTGTTAATAAACAACATAACATACTAGGACGAAACAGCCATCCAGTGCTGCCAGGTTTTCCATGGTGGTCTAGTTTCAACTGATTCATGAATTTAATTATTAAATAACAAAATATGTATATTCTTAATCAAAGTTTATAAATTACATTAATTCTATTACTGATAATACTTTTTAACAGGGACTTTCATTGATGCACTTGAATAATCACGCGATAATATTTGACTTTGTCGTTATGTCTTTGACTATTAATCACTTATACATCATAGGTGACCCTATGATTCTGAGATGGTGTGCTGATGATGTCGTTCAGAAGAACGATGAAAGCTCCACGACCAAACCATCCAGCTCAGAGAACAAAACTCTATCAAAATCTCATGATTCATTTATTGAATTGTTTTATCCATTAATACTAATTTCATGTTATAAATTCCAATCAACACAAGTTTGCCTACTAGAAAATAAGCAGATTTTTTCATCGGATTATTTATTTGGCATATATTTCCAGCTTCCAAAAATGAGATCTTAGCAAATTCACCAACATCTGGAAGTCAAACGTCCATATTGAACATGCTGATAAGTGAACTTTTTCATAAAAAAACATTTAACTACTCATAAGTAACCACATGATTATTTCGAAATACTTTACTGGATTATAAGTTTCACGTTTTTAAACAGATAAGTGTTTCATTATTCTCATTAAGGAGGTGAATTACACTGAATCGACTACACTGTCATCTAGAAGAAGAATAAAAACTTGAGAAATATTAGTTATTGTTATAAATTTTGAACCTATGTGCCCTGTTTATTGTATAACGCAACGATACCGCCAATCAAAGAGCAGCGAATTATCGATCGAACCAGTGACGCATAAAACACGTGAGAACAACCTAGAGTACTTATTGGTCCTGCTTCCTGTCTAGCCCAACCAGTTAAGTCCAGAACACAAATCTAAGCCTCTGCAATATGAATAATCTATTACAAACATACGGGGTTCATATACCAATTAAACAGACCACAACGTACCATAAAATAGGAAACAACTTTTGTACAATATTTGGCGAAATATGGCTGTGAATGTGAGAGGTAATGATTAATAGACAGGCCATAACTCAAGAATGGTAAATCGTATAATAATAGTTTATGGGTCAAAATGAAGCTCATAATAAGAGGGACATGAATATGAATAGTTTAGTTACATAACAATCATACGATAAAAATATACTCATAGTATTGGTTCATAAATGGATCCCAAAGTTACCATTCATTATTCTTATAGGGATATAACAGTTATAAGTTACTTTTGAAGAAAAGTATTTTTTGCATAGCTGAATGTACACCTGTTTCTTCCTCTTCTGATTGCTTTTAAATAAATGGGATTTTAGTAAATAGGGAAATTTAATCATTGTCAAATTGTTTTACACTCAATCTGATAAAGTTTAAAAACATTAAATCTGTCTATAAGCACGATAAGCAATTGAACACTCCAGAGGAGTTACAAGCTTTTTCTGCTGTTGATACTTCTGTAATGAAACCTATAACAGATGTAATTACTTCTACTAATCCTCCTTTGTCTTCATTTATTTTGTCAATATCGAAGAAAAGCAACGGTATATGAAAATTTTATGCGTTTTCACGGTTACTCGGCATTCCCGTTTTTGGTTTGTCCATTTGTGTAGATTATATGTTTCCTACTATTTCCTAGACCTTTGAAGGCTATTGGTAGACGGATATTTTAATGTTACACAAAATATACTTGTGGATAGTTATCTTAAATCTTTGGAACTATCTACTCCATTCAGAAATTGATAGGTTTTAAAATCATCGACCGAAATGTTGAATCGTAAGACCGTCTTACTAGAAACAATAAATAAGTACAATACTGTATGTGATTCATTAGATAAATCAAAACCAAATACTTCAGTTCTTTCATCAGTAAAATTATATGATAAATTAAATAGGAATGAATAATGGAACATATTACCAGGTTAGATTTGGTCAAAACACCAAAAATCTATTGTATAGTTAATTATTGGCAGACAAACGGAGTACATGTTAGAATAACGTATTGGCTAGTGTTCCCATACTTATTTTTATTATTTAAACACATAAAAACTGGTACAAGTAGGAACCGAATACATATGCGCCACACAAGTCACTGGACTAGCGATACTACTCTGCTCACCATTAAAATCAGTTTCAACTCAAGGAGTGAAGAGTATATCGTTTGTACCAGGTTCTCTACATCAATTCAATGTTGAGTCAGTATGTTTTTGTTGTAAATTCATGGACTTCTTGTATGATTGTTATGTCTTGAAATATAATTAAACTGTTAAGCTTGTGACTTGAAACTAGACGCTAATTACTAATTCTGATACGACTGTTTGCGAAGACTGTGATATGTCTCTACCTAACACAATACGGCGGAACGTGGCTGCTTTGTTGATGGGAGGAAGAGAACAAGACTGTAAAAGCAGGTTGACTTATTTTTTAACAACTAATTGGACGACATCCGAAATAGTAATTTAAATATCCTTTTAAATGTGTTTGGCCGATCAATAAATTGGACCAGTAACTAATCAATAACCCAATGCTCATATAATCCGCGGGTGATAAAATAACTGACTTCGCTGTGAAATATAATTCATCACTGACTTATATAATTGATTTACCAACTAATCATCAAGTGTGTGCAGAATCATATGTATGTAAATGAGTGTCTTTCATGAATGCATTTTGTAGAGCCATTAAAGTATTCATTTGCACCATTTCTCTCGTTCTTATTTTTCGTCCTAAAAGACACAATAGCTCCCGGTTCCAAGTATTGATAGAAAAATTATGATTACAACAACATCACTGCTTCATATCATTGCACATATACATAATACAAATGATTCAGTTGTTTCCCCAACAGAATATACTAAACAAGCACAATTAGCTCGGATAACGATAGGATAACGTAATTTTAAAACACTTTACTACCATAACATAATTTCGTATCAGAAATTCACGACAGCTTAGGCGGTCTAGAAGATACTTTGGAACTGTTAACGCTTATCAGTACGACGCAACTAGGATATTCAGGGGATTTGTGCTTTCTGTGGGATGCAAACCCATACCGCTGAATGTTTAAGTCAGAGACGTTTTAACCAACTAACGGACCGTATTTGCGACTACTGAAAAGACAATACTAAAGTATGAAAAGAACTAACAACTGCACTCAATGAAAACCCGTTTTTCACATCGATTTTTAACAAGTATAAATTTAATTGGCTGTTAACTTCTAAATTGATTGATACGTAGTTCGCAGGTTTTCTAAACGCTCACCAACCTATTTAGCTTCTTGGATATAAATTACAAGGGAAAAACAAGTATTCAGTGAATTTTGTTAAACAGTGATGAAGAGAACTTACGAAGCTGAAGATAATTTTATGGTAAAGAACGAAGCCGCCTCTACGTATATGCCATAGAATTCATAAAAGGACCAAGTAAATAGATTAACGCACTTCACTAACTGTGGCTTTCTTGAACCTAATGACTGTAAAGTCCGTTTAGTGAAACACAAGATTTACAGAAGCGGTTGATGACTATATTAATTGTTGTAACATTTTGGTTCAGATACTAACGTTACATATACGACCTACTTCTACACAATGCATTAGAGTATGCCAAAATAGATGGTGATTCAGAATATATCTATTTACCAATTCAGTTGAAGATTTACATCTACAAGAATTTAGTACATTTTTGAAATTTCCACGAAATCCAGTCTGGTAAACTGTAATTACAAAAATATCTGGGAATAAAACCCTCTAAAATAATCCCCAAAGTCAATGTGACAAGATGATTTTTACAGTAATCCACTTGAAGTTTATATGACCACATTAGCCCTGGTACGACTGAGGGTGGAGGGATTTAGCTCTCCCTTGCGAAATGCTCTCACATGGCCACAGGTACACAACCACTGTTAGGGAAATCCTACTCACTGCCTTATCGCACCACAAGTGTTCTTTATGAAATCGAGAGGACGAAAAGCGAATGTCAGGCGCTTTAAAACGGTTGATGGATATGGAGAACCTACCTAGGGGGCGGGGGTCGAAAAACCCTGATTCCAAACCAATGGTCATATGAACTCCAGGATCTTGAAGGAACAAATGGCGTATGAAACAACCGTTGGTCACCGTCTACCATGGCACTGCATCTCCTGACGTCGCTCAACTGCCTTGTGGATTAGACCTTTAGGTCGACGGCTCTGAGTGTGGCCCCCTAAGAAAACCACCTGCTTCGGTCTGGGCACCCGGGCAGTATCACAACTCACACACACAAATAAAGTGACTTGTGTGGCGCATATGTATCCGATTCCCCTTTGTACCAATATTTATATGCTCAAACAAAATAAATAAATGACCACATTAATACTACTAACCCTCTACTCAGCTGTTGTTTTTACACCTTATAACTAATCCAAGAAATCCAGCAACATTTATAAATGAAAGTTTATAAGTACTATACAACGGCTGTTTGGTAGGAAAAACAATGTACATGTATAATGAAATACTTAATGTGTCAAAAATAGCTCTAGAATTTGTTTTTCGTAATTATAGCTCCAAATGCTATCAACATAATCGTTAATAGTGCCACTGTTTCGGAATAAACAACAGGCTTGAATGAGATTCCCTACAAAATAAAGTATTAGTGAATATTTTATTACCTTATGTCGAACGGTGACTGTGAATACAGGAGGTACGCCGGATACAAAACCACCCTTCGAAGATCTCAGATAAGCCGTTGCACCTTTTTCATTGTAAAACCGGACAGTATATTCTCCTTTAGGCACATTTTTGTGATTAAAGACGAACGATACCTAGCGTAATCAAATTAATATTATGAACAAAATGTTAGGAATTTACTTGAAAATTGTCAGTTTCAATATGACGGGCAACTGGTTGAAGGACTCCATTTAACTCGGCGTACAAATTTGATGACTGTAAACAATCATCAGATAATATGAAGTCTTACTCCTTTTTCTTTACATTTGGCTTCACCTTCAATCAAAATTACGGTTTCAGTGGAGAGAACTGCTTCGCTTGAAGAGTAAGTAACCGGCCTGACGTCAAACTCGTCACAAGAAAGGGCTTTGAGAATGCGTTATTAGTTGTAAAATGATGACAATGCATACCAAGCTTCAGAAACACGATCACGAAACTAACCAAGAACCAGTTCATTGCGGTGTTTACGTGTATTTGACCTTCAGGCAAGCAATCGATGTACTAAAACCAAAGTTTTGGACCTTCACTATATCTCATATCCAGATGCGTGCTTTCAAAGAGAAGTTCGAAGGCTTTTGTAAATAATTATCCATTACGTTTCCGTTTGTAACTGAATCTCCTTTGAATGAATCAAGTGAGTGTGGATACTACCTCATCCAATTTCAGTTTGGGAAGGACAGGAGGCCTGATGGCGTGTGTTAGTCCTGTCAATGGTGGTCCCTCAGTTGATCCAACTTTCTTTTGGAAGAATCGACAGATGGAGCCTCAACCAAGTGCTGAGGTAAGCAGTTCCACTCGTTGATGATTCGATGAGAAAGTCGATAGTAAGCTGACAAGTAATTTGTTCTGGGCTTGTGAACATTTTGGAGTGTCCTCGTAAATTCTCTGTTTTGGAAGACAAGAAAAATGAGGGCATATCAGGTGCAAATTTGGCACTAAGCAATCCGAAAACTGCAATCAAGTCGCCTCTAGTTCTGCGATATGACAACGGGAAAAGGTTTAGCTTGGCCAGTCGAGATTCATACGGAAGCTACGCTATTCCGAAAAACAGCTTAGTTGCCGTTCTCTGAACCTTTTCCAGGAGCTCATTGTCTTTTTTTAAGCAGGGGCTAGCCGCTTGTATGCAGTACTCAAGTTTAGGACGAACGAACACTGTATACAAAGTCAAAAACGTCTTAGCGTCAACATGACTAAAAGCCCTACGTATTGACCATAACGTTCTAAAACTTTTGGCGGCTATTGCACGGCAGTGTGCAGTAGTCTTTAAGTCTTGACTAACGATAACTCCTAAGTCATTATATGTCTGGACGACAGGTAGCTCAGTGTTATTCATCGTGTATGTATCTGTGCCTTGATGACCGATATGCATCACTACACACTTGGAAGTATTTATCGGCAACTGCCATGTTTGAGATCATTCAGATAACTTCTTCAGGTCATTTTGAAGTCCTAAGCTATCACTCTTACATAGTATCGTTTTCCATATCTTGACATCGTCAGCATATAGCAAGACCGATGATGATAGGAGACAAGGAAGGTCATTTACATACAAGAGGAATCGCACTGGCCCCAAACTGTACCCTGAGGCACTCCACTAAGCACAGTTCCCCAGCTAGATAACTTTGAGTTCACACGTACTCTTTGTTGACGCCCAACTAAGAAGTCTTTTATCCACATAAATAGATTGCCTCCAATCCCGAAATTTATCAACTTATATAACAGCCGGTTGTGCGGAACTTTGTCAAAAGCTGTGATGAAATCAATGAAGGCGACGTCTACAGGTAGCTTCTAGTCTTTAAGAGCGCACCAGCTTTCACGAGCCACTAATAAGTTAGTGAGACCAGAGTAACCTATTCTTAAACCATGCTGCTTCTCCAAAAGGATCCGGTCTTTATCGAGATACTTAAACAGCATCTTCCGAATAATCTTTTCTAATATTTTTACAACCACACTAGTTAGGCTAACGGGGCTGTAATTCTCAGGTTTGTGTTTCGTACTTGTTTTGAAGACAGGACTTACCATGGCGTCCTTCCAGTCTTTTGGTAAACGACTCTGCGTTACGGATAGATTAAAGCATATACTTAAGGGGTTCGCAACGAAGTTAGATAGCTCCTTCAGTAGCCTAGGATGTAATTCATCGGGCCCCGTGGATTTATCTATGTCAAGCTTATTTAGTAGACCAAAGACATCGAGTTCTTTAATGGTCACGCTATCCAGTGTATGTGTGGGTGATCTGTATGAACTGACGGGAAGGGTGCTTCTATGGTATATACATTGCTAAAGTAGTTCGAGAACACTTGAGCCTTACCGAAGTCGTCCTCAACTAATGATGCGGCAGTACTGTCTCCCCATAGAGCAGGAATATTTCCTCTTCTCTTTGTACTTTGGTTTATACAAGAATACAAACGTTTAGGGCATTCTACGGATTCCTTAACAATCTTTTCTCCGTACAACTTTTTAGAATTGCGAAGGGTCAGGGCACAAGTATTCCGAGCTTTTTGATACTGAGATTTTGTCTCATCGGTCCCCAGTAACCCAAATCTATCCCACATTTTTCTTCTCTTGCGGAGAAGGATGCGGAGCTCCCTACTGAACCATGGTCGAGAGTTTCTCGGCCCCTTTGGTATAATCCAAGGGATGTGGTGTGTGGTAACTATTAAGTATGAATTTCGAAATGCGTCCCAGGCCATTTCAATTGAGGACTCTCGGTCTATTGTCCAATCTACTAACGATGCTGAGTGCATGATATTTGGTATATTTGCTTCCCAGACGTTAGATCTGGATTGGGCTGACGCGTGCTCGTGACTGACAGTTATATGGAAGTCGAAAATTAAAACTGCGTGATCACTTTTACCTAGGGGTGACAAGTAACGGAGGTTCGTGACGTCATCCTCATAGTGAGTCAGTATGAGATCTAATAAGGATGATTCAGTGTCCGGGTTGTACCTAGTCGCTTCTTTCACATGTTGTACTAGAGCACATGTGATAACCCCATCAACTAGTTCCTGCTCGAAAGAATTCTCCGACGATTTAGTTCGCAGATTTTCCCAGTCTACCATAGGTGCATTGAGTCCCATAGGATTAGACAGCGACCACTTTGTGACCAAGTATTGAGGCTGCTTAGCAGGATCTCATTTGCCTCACAGCTTGGACTGCGATAGACCAAACCAATCAGCAGCTCTTGTCACTTGCATTTCAAGCGGCAGCTAACTAATTCACACGTCCCACTCTCATGGGATACACTGTCGATAATGGCAAATGGGATAGCATTCCTAATGAATAGAGCTACTCCCTCTCCTTTGCGCTTTTGTGTTCTGTTGGCCCTTACTAACGTAAAACCCTCGAAATCTAGCTCCATACTATCTATAGCCTGTGTCAGTCAGGTTTCTGTAACTGCGATTATGTCTGGCTTTGTAGAGTCAATCTGTACACCTAGTTCCGATCGCTTATTGAGAAAGCTTCGGGCATTAGTGCAACAGATCCGAAGCCTATTTAAGTGGCTTCGTGCTTCACCCAGAGTGGCTTCGGCATCATTCTCTGTCGAAGCCTAACAACCCGAAAATTTACAATTTTTAGGTCCTTTTCGCCAGCGTCTACCCTAAGTTGTAGTTCTTTCTCGGCTTCCCGTCTTTTTACATGGTCTGCCAACGGCAAGTCCTTTCGGATAAAGACTCCTGAACCCTTTAATTTGTGTCCATTCTGTAAAATTAGGTCACGTTCGTTCGAAGAGTTGAATACTACTTTAAGCAGTCTGGAATGATTTGGTTTCAAGTTCGCTAGACTCCCAATCTGTACACCGTTAGCAAGATGACCCCGGTCATATTTTCAGGCATGAGTTGATTAAGCAGCTTCTCAATCAACACAATGTCATGCTCAAAACGAGCTTTATGTTCAGAGCTCTCGCTCTCCTTGTATCAATAAAAAATAGCTGATCTGTCGCTGTGATCAGCCTTCGATTTTACGACCACTTTCGGGGGAGTAGGATTACCTTTTATATCGCTACCCTTTTCTTCCTTACAACCTGTACCCACTTGTCAACGGTGCTGGGTGAAGAAACAACAGTTGCGTCAAACCTAGTGTTGAATTTTGGGGGTTGTCGACGACCTGAGTGGTCAGGTTATGTTTACCGCTTGAAATCGATCGAGCCTTGCGATTGCGGCTTCTATTTGTTTCCTGTCGGATCCCATCTGGGAGACGGGGAACAGAAGACCTTACTTTTCTTGAGCTTTTGTTTAAGGCAGGTCCCTTTGGAGACTACTTTTCTTTCTTTGACGGGCGTGAGTCATCTACTATCGAATTAACCTTTGTTTGCTTCATGTCGATTTGTGTGTCGACAGATCGAATGCTGTTTGACAAAGCCATACGCAACCCTTCTTACTGAACCGTTTGAAAGCCGCAGGCGTTAAGTTAGTGCAAACTTCGTGGTACCAGCTTTTGCAATCGTCGCACTGCATGCCGCTCTCAACGGGATAAGGACAACCCAGACGTTGGCAACTGCTTGTTTTACACTGTCCGGTCATTTAAAAGGAGTCCTTTTCAAAAAGGAACGAGATGCGATGATACTCAGAAACCAAAAAAATAATCAATGACCAAAAAGTGAAGAACTGTAGATTGTTAGGACCAAAAGTGCTAACAGATATAATTGAAAATGAGGTACTCACATGTACCAACGACAAAACTAATTGTGAGAACGGTAAAAACAGTACATTAGTCGAATACTTTAACTGAAATAAATTCAATTAAAGTGAAAACAGTAGTCTTGATACGTAATGAACGATTGTAGAATTATGGTCTACTATGATATTAGTACTGCTCTAATAATAGACCTAATCCCAAAATTGTAGATTCGTCATGATATAACTGCCTAATCTATAAGATCTTACGTGGAAGTCACACCATCGACTACACCAACTCACTGTATCGTATCAATTACCAATACATGATGAGGAACAAGGTTAGGCTAGAGAAAGAACAATATATTTAATATGAATAGAAGATATAAAGTAACACTGAGATGGACCACGCCTGCATGGACGAGCCATGCCACTCGATCAACTCCAGTCCATTCAATTCATTGTTCGCGCCTTCTCCATTGTTAGGTATTTCTCCGCGTTAAATATTGAATATCTATTTTCTGAGTAGTCTCGTGTTCACAGCTTTGTAGATTGTGTGGCTATTGTCCAATGCCACTACACTACTCTCCCACCAGAATCAACGTGATGTTGGTTCGATACCAAATTGGATGGGATCGTCGCGCGCCGGAGGTTACCAAGGATAATAAGAATCCTCCGGGTATTGGTAAGCTGAAAGATAAATCAAAAAGAAAGCGGCAGCATCTGGTCGGGAAATACATGTAATAATTTTAAAATATCTGCCTTCATGCTTAACACACTTAAAGTGACAATTTGGGTGAAGATTATTTGAACTATAAAAAATGAGATTGCAGTAATAATAATAAAACAATGCGT